CCTTGACTTATGGCAACCCTATGAATGAGCGCCCTCGAGAATGTCCAAGCCATGACAGCCCATTTCAGCTCCTGTAAACTCAAGGCGGAGCTCAAGCCATCTCATACTGGGTCTTCCTTTTCTTCTTCTGCCTTTGTCTTTCCCTATCATGATTGACTTCTCCAGGAAATACTGCCTTTTCATGATATGCTAAAATATGACTGCCCCAGTTTTGTCATTTTTGCTTCCTGGGCAAGCTCTGGATAGATTTGATCTAAGATCGGTTAGTTTATCTTTCTGTCAGTCCAGGGTGTTCACAAAGCTCCTCTCCAGCACCATGTTTTGAATGCCTCCATTTCTTCCTGTCAACTTTATTCACTGCTCGGCTTTCACACCCATTCTATGTCCTTCATGGCTGCCCTTCCAAGCCTCAGTCTTCTTCATATTTATTGGCTATAGCCTCCATTTGAATTGATGACTGAGCCCAGGTATGTAAAATCTTTCTGAGTACAACTTAGGTCAGTTTGTTGTAAAATGTGAAAGGATCCTGAGTCTGGCCACCCTTCCCCCCTCTGCCTCAAATCCCCAAATTACTATGAAGTTAATGTGGCTTATTTTCACACCAAGGATCTGCCTCCATTTCCCATTGGCTTCACTGCCTAAAGCTACCTCAAGACCTCAATGAAAGACTGCTTCCTTCCTTCCTTCCTTTCTTCCTTCCAGGAAGGTGAAAAGACAACATACCAGAATTGGCACTTGCCAGTAAAAGGAACAACCTCCTCTTAGCAGCATTGCAAAGCATTCTTCCAGGTGTCCTCTCCAATTTTTGTGCAAGTCTATCACCAGGGCTGGCCTTCCCTAGGTAGAGTGAGATAGCAGTCACAGGCAATTTATTCTGGGTGTGGAGACGTAGAGGCCTAATGACCCTGGATGTGTTGACTAGAAATACCAGATACTCTGGCAGTTCAAACCCTGCATCGCGTGACAGAGTGAGCTACCTTCATGTGCCTTTAGCTCCTGCCCAACCAGCAGTTCGAAAGCAAGCAATAGGAGAGTAAATAAATGGGTACCACTTCGGTGGGAAAAAGGCTAGTTGCGTTCCTCAGAAGTGGAAGCCGGTGCTGGACCTGCCTGAATGTAAGACAAGGCAGAAGAAACCATGAAGAGCTGACAAAAACCCGGACAGCAGCTGGCTTGTATGTGTGTGGAGTTAGTTCGCCCCCTCTGGTGCACACTGGATAATGTGTGAAAAGCACAACCTAGCACTTTGTAGGCAACCAAACTTCTACTGTGTGGTAACATTGTAGACTCCTGGCTGGCTGGTTTATTTATTGCTTTTATATACCATCCTTGTTCCACCACCATATACTAAATAATAAATAATATTAATTCTGGGTGTCAAGCATGCGTATATTTGTGGTTTTATTGCCAGACTCTGCAAGAGACCCTTCTGGGGGTTCTCTGCCTCATCTCTTGCCTTGATCTTGTATGCACCTGGACTAGGAAAGATGCTATTGACCATTCCAGGCAGCAAAATGTCTTAGACTGGCCTTGGCTGTCAGTGGGAATTGCCTTGGGCAATACCTGGTCAACTAAGAAAGGACAAAAGGGTGAGTCAGGTTTTGAGGCAAGAGGTGATTCTTCCTGGCCGTTAAGATAGTCCAAGACTAGGGGATGGTTGGAGGAGCTGACTTGTCCTTTATTCTCCTTGTAGCCAAGGCAAGTCCAGCTTCTGTGGAAAAGAAGGGAGGACTGAACTGCAGTTTGAACTGAGTCAGAGAAAGAGGCATAAAGCTGAGTTTGGGCTCTGGAAGCTTTTTAGAATGCTTGATGTCTCTCTGGTGACTGGCTATCTGAGAGCTTAAGCTGAGTCTCCATCATGTGCGTTTATTAATTATGGTATTATGAGGATTTGTTTTAATGTTTTATAAATGTTTCTGCATCTGTGTATAGCAGTGTGGTATAGTGGTTAAGAGTGTGGGGCTGGATCTCAGGCAATCTGGGTTCTAGTCCCCACTCAGCCATGGAGCCAACTGGGTGACCTTGGACCAGTCACACACTCCCCACCCAACCTACCTCACAGGGTTGTTGTGTGGGGATAAGACTAAGAGCAGGAAAAGGAGAATGTTGTAAACTGCATTGAACTGTTTGCAAGAAAAAGGCAGGATATAAATCTGTTGTTGTTAGTCGCGAAGTCATATCCGACCCATCATGACCCCATGGACAACACTCCTCCAGGCCTTCCTGTCCTCCACCATCCCTCGCAGCCCACTTACGCTCACACCAGCTGCCTCAGGGACTCCATCTAGCCACCTCACCCTCTGCCGTCCCCTTCTTCTTTTGCCATCTATTGTTCCCAGCATTAGGCTCTTCTCCAGGGAGTCCTTCCTTCTCATTAGGTGGCCAAAGTATTTGAGTTTCATCTTCAGTATCTGGCCTTCTAAAGAGCAGTCAGGGTTGATCTCCTCTAGGACTGACTGGTTTGATCACCTTGCGGTCCAGGGGACTCACAGGAGTCTCCTCCAGCACCACAATTCAAAGGCCTCAGTTCTTTGGCGCTCAGCCTTCCTTATGGTCCAGCTTTCACAGCCATACATTGCAACTGGGAAAACCATAGCCTTGACTATACGCACTTTTGTTGGCAGGGTGATGTCTCTGCTTTTTAGCATGCTGTCTAGATTTGCCATAGCCTTCCTCCCCAGGAGCAAGCGTCTTTTAATTTCTTGGCTGCAGTCCCCGTCTGCAGTGATCTTGGAGCCCAGGATATAAATCTAGTCAATAATAAATCAATAAATCTATATTTAGATTTCTTTTGATATATTTGATAAGTGTATTTAAACCATGTAGAGATTAACCTGTTTGTTTATTTATTTATTTATTTATTTATTTAGAAAATTTGTAGGCCATCCATTACTGTTGTCTCTGGAAGGCTTACAATTATAGATACTTTTAAATACAATAAGCAATAAAAATGTATTTAATAAAAATAGTAGTGATAATAATATATTAGATGTGTATATTGTAAATAAACACACATATTAGAACAGTCTAATAGGTCTCCCAAAGGAAATCAAAGCCAGGTAAGCATTGAAGCCCTGAAACATCTCTCTGCTTGAGAAGTGAGGTGAAAGTAACAGTGTTTTATTTCCTGTTTTCACTGTTGTGCTAGAAACCCATCCATGTGTAGGTAGATTTAAATATATGTTAGCTATATTTATTAAGCAAAATGCAAAAGGAAATGCAGGGGCGCCACAGTCTATGTAGCTTTACCAGTTTTATAATGCTCAAACATTGTCTTAAATTAACAAGAGATAACAAGCAATTGCTAAGGCTTTCCCTTGTGAGTTCTTGCAACTTTATTTATTGACTGTTACTCAGATTTTTGTGAGAGCAGAGACTTATTTTTCTAAAAGTTCTAGGCATAGCTCTAAAGAAATTTCTGATCTCTTGGGGTTTAAACATGCAATTTAATGTGGCTTTCAAAACACAAACAAATTAGCTCAACAGTAAATGAAACATGTCTGGAATAAATATGAAAAGAACTAGCAAGAAAATTTCTTCAAAAGGGTGACATCACACTCTTTGGGTAGGTTCACAGGTCATGACAAGCTACCCTGCCTAGTTACCACAGTTTGCAGTTTTCTTTTACTTCAGTGTGGCTGACAGATAATCAGGCTCATGGTGGCAACGCCCTTCCTTCCCACCATCTTCTTCCCTCTCAGTCCTCTAGGCAGTATCCACAAGACACTGCAGGGAGGAGGAAGGACAGACATGATTGCAAGCCAAGTCCAGATCCCTGCAGGTATCTAGCGGTCCCTGCTATGCAAACAGGACTCATGCCCTGAAGCATAGCAGAGAAGATGAGGGGACTGATCAGGTCCCCTCATCTCCTGATTTAGAGGGGGCCGCTGGGACAGGAGGCAGGGTGCTGATGCAGACTTAGCAAAAGGGGGGGATCAGCAAAAAGCAGGACCACTCTGCTAATTCCCTGGCTGCCCCTTTTTGCAGGGAAGCCCGTAAAACACACAGTCATGAGAAGCTACCTCTATGGAGCCTGACCACAAGGCCCTTGGAACAATTTTACCCACAGAAACAAAGCTTATTTATTAAATTCTACATGCATTTGTGTCCACAGGTCTTCTCATGTAACAAGCCCACTTTAATCATGTTACTCTCCATTAGAATCATGGAATTATTGAAAGTTAGATTAGGAAGGTCCCTCAAAAGTCATTGAGTCCAGTCACGTGATCAATGCAGAATCCTCAGTGCAATAAGGAGCCTTTGAATGGGGAAAGCGACCCGGACTGTTCAACCTGCTGTAGCCCCAGCTATGCAGACATAACGTGTCCTTGAAGTGAGCAAGTTCAGGCTGGGAATCTGCATTGTACCTGCTGTTCCCATGCTAATGCTAATGTTAATAATACTAATCAGTACAAATCCAGCCTGTGTATCAGGATCCTGGGGAGATTGTTACAGCTTTAATTTGCAACCTGCCCAGTGAGCTTCATTTCTTGGGTGGTATAAAAATGAAATGAATTGATGAAATAAATATGCTTACATACATAAACTTTTGGGGGTTGTCAGTTCTTGAAAGATAAAAAAATGGATATCTGACTAGTGCCAAGGAATGTGAACCAGTAATAAAGATGTGGCACTTGTTTCTATTTGTAATTTCCAGGACAAATAGAAACATTCTGGAAAAAAAGAGGAGACCCATGGGAGAAAGAATACCTTTTTTTGCTGGACTGTATAGAGGCTGTGGTGGTGCTTACCCGTTATGTAATGTCTGTTATTTCAGAATGATGTTGGTGGGGGGTGGAGGTTAAATGGCTTTTGAAAATCATACTGCTACAGAAGTTCTAGATCTATAATTCAGAGGTGCTCATTTGGGACTAGTGATTACCTGAGATTTAAATTTATTTCCCTGAGAATGCATCCCAACTCTGTATGAAATTTTGCAAGTATTCTTTCCTGTAATAAAGAAAGAAGGCATCACATTTATTTATTACTTATTTATTTAGCTCTCTCCAAGGTTTGGCGAGTACTTTACATGAAGGGCATTTCATCTCAGAGCATGAATTGCATACGTTACTGCGACATCCTGTTGTTTCTTCGGATTCAAGAAACCTTGTCTTGTTTCTTCAAGATATGGTAGGTATTGGCAATTTCCCTGCAGAGTGCAGCTTGTGTGTAATGAGCTGAGATGTGCCCCCACTGTGACCTCCGTTATATTTTTGTTTTTCAGCTTAGCGTGGATGACTTCACACGTTACACTGACTCTTCTGGAAATGAGGCACCATTTCGCAATGTTCAGGCAAGCATAACCATCCCATATGGTGCCTTCCCAGCAGTTTTCAAAAACAAAACCAAAAAGGATGCCTGAAAGGAGTGACAGAGACGTTGCAATTCCGGTAACAGGTTGCGGGCTCTTCTAAACTCAATAACGAGATTGACATAAAATAAACTTAAGTGGCCGTAACTTCCTTTACAGCTTCCAGGAAAGTGTTTGAAGTTAATCAGGATTTAGTTTCTTCTGTATATTGATCTCCAGCAATGGAAATTAGGGAACGAATCGTTCTCAGTTACCAAGCTGTTTTCAAGGAGTTCACTTACCAGTGTAACTGATAATGTGTGAAAAATAATGGTTTTCCAGAACCAGTCTTCTGGGGCTGTTTTTTTTTCAAAACCGAGACATTATTCTCTTAGTACATTTATTCTTCCAACAAATTTTTCCCCTCTTCCTGTTGCATATGGAAAAGCATGTGTTTGTTAAACATTTTTTCTGTATTACCTGTGTTTACATATACATGCACGTAGTTAAGCACTTGAGACGTTTTGTAATTGAAAACCTTCCTTTCAATTGGATTGGGAGGGTTGGATCAAGCATTTGAGAACTGGGTTTTTTTGGACGTATCTCTTTAAAATTCCTGTTTTATTTAAGTAAGAATTTTAAATGACTCTTCATTATTAATTCCTGCCACCAGTAGCAAACTAGTCAGGCAAATCACTATTATCAATTATAATCCCCAGGCCTAATGAATGGGAAAATGTGTGGGTGAAAAAAAACTTATTAGGCTGGCAAGAAAGAAAGCTTAAAGGTAGGGAAGAAAAGTAAAGAAAAAGGAAGGGATAGTAGTGTATAGTATGCCATGTAAAGTCACATTTTTGTTCCATTTAACTATCACCTTCTGTTCCATGCTCACCATGATCAGTGTCCTGCAGAATTCAAGACAATGTGTCCCTCCCCATCTCTCACGCACCATGATAGCTTAATTGAATCGTATGTGAATCAAAACCTGAGTCTATATTCTAACAGTTTGTACCAATTCATATTTGTTTTATGCTTTAAAAGTTATGATATGTCCAACTCCTCTGGGTTGCACTATTCAATACTGACAATTGCATGCTTTTAAACTTCATTCTCTTATGTGTGTTGGCTTTTTAAAACAGTGTAGAGGCCTATTCCTGTGAATTTCTTCTGTGTGCGTATAGAACATGTATTCCTGTTGATGGATAAGACATTTTTAAAATGTTAATTTCATTTGCGCTAAAGCAAAGGGGGTTTGGATTGAGACGGAGGGGTGTTGGACTGGGTCATAGTCAGTGGTATGTGCAGTCTAAATACACCGAATTCCTATTCAAAAAGGTCCCCTTTAAAAGGACCCAATGTTTTGTAAGCCACCTGTTATCCAGGGTTTCCCTTTAAAGTGTGGGTGCTTTTAGCTGTTCCCAAGCCCTCAGAAGCACAGAACAAAGTCCAAAAATTGCTCCCCAATAGAGACCAAAAGGGCAAATAAAATAAAATAAAATAAATAAATGGATCTCAACAAGAAGCAGTTAGAGATTCCACCCCCACCCATTTTCACACCAAAAGAGAGTCACATGTAACAAACTATGTACAGTGTATCCTCCCTTTATGATGGTAGAAATGTCCCTTAATCTATCTGCAATTTTGCAGTATCTACTATACACAATATATTTATTTACTAGGAAAATAAGTATTCTAAAATGCAAAAATATTTATTTATTTATTTAAAACATTTCTATGCCACCCCCATCACAACAAAGCCTCGGGGCAGCTCACAAAGAATACATAAAAACATGCATAAATAATAATAACAATTTAAAAGAAAAAAAACAACATTTAAAAAACCCCAGTGCATTCTCGGCTAAAAATTTTAAAATCCTAATTAATACAATAATTTAGCAATTAAAATAAGTTTTAAATAAAAAGGTCTTAGACTGGCGCCGAAAAACAAATAACGACGGCGCCAGGCGGGCCTCTCTGGGGAGCGCATTCCATAGGTGGGGCGCCACCGCAGAGAAAGCCTTCCTCCGGGTACTCACCCTCCTAATATTCACAGAGGGTTCCCGGAGAAGGGCATCCATTGCTGATCTCAAGGGACGGGAGGGCATATATGGGCGCAAGTGTTCCTTTAGATATCCAGGTCCCAAGCTGTTTATGGCTTTATAGGTCATAACCAACACCTTGAATTGGGCCTGCACTTCAATCGGGAGCCAGTGGAGCTGACGGAGAACTGGGGTTATATTAGAACAACGCCCAGTCCCCGTCAGCAACCTGGCAGCTCTATTCTGCACCAATTGAAGTATCCGGACTGTCTTCAAGGGTAGCCCCACGTAGAGCACATTACAGAAATCTAATCGGGAAGTTACCAGTGCGTGTGTCACTGTTGCCAGGCAGTCGTTCTCCAGGAAAGGACGCAGCTGATGTATCAGCCAAAGCTGAAGGAAGGCGCTCCTCACCACCGCCATCACCTGAGCTTCTAGAGACAGCTCAGGGTTGCGGAGCACTCCTAAGCTGCGAACCCTGTCCCTCAGAGGGAGAGCAACCCCATTTAGAACAAGGCCCAAGTCCTCCATCCTGAGGCCCTAGCCACCCACCAACAGGACCTCCGTCTTGTCTGGATTGAGCTTCAGTTTATTGGCCCTCATCCAGCCCATTACCTCGGCCAGGCACCGGTTCAGCACAGCCACTGCCTCATCTGGATTGGTGGAAAACGAGAGGTAGAGCTGGGTATCATCAGCGTACTGATGATTCCGCAGCCCACACCTCCTGATGACCTCTCCCAGCGGTTTCATGTAGATGTTAAATAGCAAAGGGGACAAAATGGACCCCTGCGGAACTCCATGGCGTAACTGCCATGGCACAGAGCCATAGTCCCCCAGCACCACCTTCTGAAATTGGCCATTGAGATAGGAGTGGAACCACCGCCACGTGGTGCCTCCAACTCCCAATCCTGCTAGCCTATTCAGAAGGATACCATTGTTGATGGTATCGAAAGCTGCTGAGAGGTCCAGGAGAACTAACAGGGACGCAATCCCCCTGTCTCTCTCCCTGCACAGGTCATCGTACAGGGTGACCAAGGCAGATTCAGTGCCATACCCAGGTCTGAAGCCGGACTGAAATGGGTCCAGATAATCATTCATCCAAGAGTGCTTGGAGTTGTCCTGCCACCACCCGCTCTAGCACCTTGCCCAGGAACGGGATGTTGGCCACCAGTCTATAATTGGCGGCCACCTCTGGATCCAGGGATACCTTCTTTAGGACTGGCCGGACTACCGCCTCCTTTAAAGGGGCAGGTACCAGGCCGTCTCTTAAAGAGGCGTTGACCACCTCCAGGATCCAGGTCCCAATCCCATCCTTGGCTTTCTTAAGTAGCCAAGATGGGCATGGGTCTAGTAAGCAAGTGGTAGGACGTACTTGTCCAAGCACCTTGTCCACATCATCAGGCTGCAACAACTGAAATTCATCCATTAATTGTGGACTCAACGGTGTCAATGGCGTCTCCCCAGTACAATCTGATTCAATAGCAGAGTCAAGCTCGTGGCGAATCTGAGCGATTTTCTCCCTGAAATGCTTGGCAAAGTCATCACAGTGGGCCTTCAAGGGTGGCACAAGATCTTTCTTCGGCACTTGACCACTTAATGAGCTGCCTATGTAAGACAAATGGCATACCACTGTGGAAATCCCTTCCATTCTGAACTGGCAGTGAACAGGTAGCGCACATGTGGCTATTGATTCCCAAGGATCCAAACAGCTGGTCACATAGCCGAACCTGTTTAGTGCCTGCAGCCAGGTCTGAGGCTTTTGATCCATCAGGGTTCTGCATTTTGTATTTTTTTCCTTGAAAGAAGATGAGTTTTCGCTTTTTATCTTATATGCAGTCATCCGACAACTGCACATTTGCCTATCAGAGTCATTAAACTATACAGTATGGGCCAACCCAGGCAGGATGTACATAATTTCAATAATTATGGAGCATGTACTGCAACACTCATGTTGTTTGGTTTTTCAGTGCCTATCCTCATTTGCATCTTGGATTAAACAGGAGAAAGGCAAATGACATACATTTGTAATCACATCTATAATCTAGATTTTTGGTGGAGGGAGGAAGTGGGAAGTTTCTGCTTGAGATTTCTTTTGCCTATGTCATTATGCTTTTGCTGCTGCTGCTGCTGCTGCTGCTATTGTCTCTTAATTAAAATAAATACTGTTGCTTGGCCACACCTCAAGTGTGAATTCACGAGGGTGGGGGAGAGACGACTACTCTACCTGCTGAGCCTGGCCTTACATTCCTCTCAAACATTACGCATCCCTTTCCTGTCCACAGCAAAATTCAGAAAAAGCCAGCTGTGTGCAGTGCTGATTACGTATCTGATTGTGCTGTCAACGTAAGACTCCCTATCTCTAAGGCACTTTTGTACTTTGGACTGCCCCTGCCTATCTCCAAATCACCTTTGTACCTTCCTTATAAAACAGTGAATGCTGTGATGCGTGAATGGCCTTCCTCCTGCCCTTTATAAGTGAATCTATTTCAATCACACCTATACTTGCAACCAAATAAATCAGTGGCCAAGTGGTAGCCCTAGTCCAAGTTGCTGAAAAATCCTGGCTTGGGTCCAAGTGCTTTACTGTTGCTTGTACTCCTGTACTCTCCCAGCCTTTTGCTATCTTGCTGCCTGTTAATATTGCACTGAATTGCTACCTAATACCTTTTGGAGAAGGAATGTTTCTGCAAAAGAGCATTGCAGTTTCTTGGATAGGAGAAAGTATAGCAATGTTTAGCCTGGGGGAAAATGAATCAAGGAAGACTGTATTTGAAATGCATAATTTTTCTAAGGCAATGACTAGATGGAATGTGCTGTAGATTTTCATCCTAACTATCCCCAGTTGTTGCATTGTAAGGAAGCTAAATGAATCCTTTAAAGGCAAAACTTTATGAAAAAGAAGTTTATGGGAAATGAGGAACCTCCTGTTTCAATACTTTTTTGCTACCATAGAAGTTGCTATGCCCTTTCAGGTTTGAAGGGTTGCTTCAGTTTAGAAGCATCCATCACTCTTTTATCAGCCAAGTAAAGTACTTTTTGCTGGAGCTGACTGAATGATTGGTGTATGGATTCTCGTTCCAGCAATAGGACATGTGTTACACATTTAAAGAACACATAATAAGCAATCTAAACCAAAGGCATCGAGAACAGTAGCTACTCTAATTTTCCTCTTGATTATCATGATGATGCTCAAACAAGTATCACCTAAGAGGAAACAGATGGTTGTTTGATTTACTCTTCACAAATGATGCTAATGACTCTGTATGCTGCAAAATGAACACGTATCTTACATACTTCAAATGGCTTCTCTGTGGGTAAAAGGGAGACTCATCAAGGCAACTCTCATTGTACGTGGACATGTTGTGTGTGACTAGAACCCTGGGTGGGATAAACATTCTTATTGGCATGGAAAGATTCTTCCAGCAGGTCCAATGACACTCAGACAACCACTGTGATGTACATTCAGATCAGCACTGGATCTGATCACCTTTTTCTTGCTACGCCTGGACAAAAGAGGTGAGACAGAATCTGCTTTCATACATACATATGCAAAGAAGATTGTGGAGTGACTTGTCAGAGGAAGCCAGGAGAACTCAACTCTCCTTGCTTTCTCCGTGTCACCACCATGTCCTAGTAGTACTCCAGCATTCTGGAGTACAGTGAAGCAGTGCGTTCTAAGCATAGACCTTTCTGTAGCTCACAGAGGACCATCAATACCTCACTCCCCCATACTCCAGGTTCTGCTAAAAGTAGTCTGTGCCTTGGGGACCTCAGCTAAAGAGAACTTAGTGATTACATGGCAGTATTGACATATCCTGTCCTGATCCATTCCAGATTCTGATGGGAAGGAAAAAGACCAGGCAAGGTGGTGGGAGGCAAAGCTGTAGGCTGGAGCCACTCTGCTGCAGAGCAATAGACAGGACCATGGCAGGACTGAAGGTGCTGATTTAGAATCTCAAGACAGCCAGTTATCTTGGCAATGGCCTGGAGCCACTGCCAGCATTCATAGTCTGGTTCAGAAAGTCTGAAAGCACCCCAAATGCTTCATCAAGCCAGCTCAAAGAGCCAGGACCTTTTTCTTTAGTCATTAGCTCATCCTAGGCAGGGAAAAGCTAGTGGGAAATGCTAAGTAGGGTCCTCCTGGGGCCAATTTCTTGGGCAGTAGTACCTGCTCGGAATTCAGGGGGCAGAGTGCAAAATCTAGGGCAAGGAGTCTTAAAAACCTGGGAAGGGCCAAGGAGTGGATCTGTCAACTCCTCTTCAGACGTGTTGCTGCTTCAAGCCCCACCTCTGGACACTTTGGGGCTAGGAACATGACAGTGCCTGATATAGCAGTCATTTTGCTCTGCTCTGCTGTTAGTAATACAGCGAAACTTTTGTCAACCTTGTTAATTGTCCAACATGAGTAAAAATGGGTTGTGTTGAATTCATAAAGGGCACGGGCAACAGAGAAGGAGATGGGAAAAGTCACGGAAGTACAGCTGGTCAGAAAAGAGGAAGCCTAAAGGAATAGCAGTAGCAGGATAAATGAGCTAGTATAACAGTTAAGAGACAGCATGTCACAGTTGCTGATGTCAGAGGATGAGTCAGAAAAGAAATTAGTCTCAAATTTAGAACATAACAGAAGTGAACAATAATACAGTGAACGAAGGCATCACCAGTTCCACAAATTCATTATTACGTGCTGATTTACTTGAAACAATATTTTCCATCAGCAAGTTAGCCTGCTATGTTGACTTTCGCAGAGATTTAGCATAGTTGCATCCTTAAAGATGCTTGTTTGCCCCATCAAAACATAACAAAATGACAAACAGTCCTCTACCAACAACAGTTTGCACTCTGGACTTGCCTGTGTGGTTTTCACATTACAAAAAGGGCTACGTTCTTTCAGTAAGAACTGCCTCTTGGCCATTGCTGTGCATGTTCAGTGCAAATAGATACTAACCATAGTTTCGTAGAATCCACACATTTATATTCGTGAGGCATGACTCTTACCCGCATAATTTACTGGCTGGTAACCACTTACGTTCTAAGGAGGCTGGCTATGGAAGGATGAATTCATGTCTTGCAAGACATTTGACTGAGAGGCATGGCATATTCAGCTCTGAATTTTTTGACTAGGTAATGTTGGAATTAAAAAAATTGCTTGCCCACTAAAACTGAATATTTGTGTAATGAGGTGGTTGAATGTATTTATTATTATTAAACCTGTATATCACTGTAATAGTTCCAGAGGATTCTCTAAGCAGTTTGGAACTTGGAACTTGCCTACTGATTCCAACAGGATCACAGTATTTGCACACAGTTTAGTCTCTTAACAATTCTCACAATGCACCAACTGTTGTGCTCATCTTCTTTCTCTTTGCTGATAATTCCTTGATCTTTATCAGAAGTACCATAATTGGGATCTCATATACACAAGTATTGTTTTTCTGAGAATCCTCTCGTATTATAAATAAGCTTTATAATAGATGCCATTAACCTGAATATCTCTGCCAGAACATGTGTTTAGAAGAAGGATGCGATATGCCTGCCATGACTGGGCCAACCCATATTTCATGACCTTGCATGGAGTTGCAATGCCCTTTCAGCTAATGAGGTGTCATGGGACTGAAGGCAAAAGATGTGGTCCAAGCAGACAGGTGACTGGTTTCTGAAGCAGGGACACAGGGAGCCAAGGGGTCAAAGGCAGAAAGTATGGACACAAAGAGGGTGATCATCAAATGTTTTATCCAGCAGACAAGGACCAAGAAAGGCAGGGGCAGAAGCTGATGGTGAGGTGAAGGGCAAGGAAAGGTGACATAAAGTGAGGCATGAGGGATATACATGGAAAGGTGGAGCATGCATTTGGTAACCAAGGCAAGTCCTTTCTTCTTCTCATGGATGGAGTTGCTCAGATTGCAGCACCAAGCCTAGGAGAGTGTTTAGGTAGTTCCAGCAGGATCTTGTTTTGGCTCCCAGATTGCTACTTTCTCTTAGACTGACAGGCAGCACTTTCCCTTTCTACCAATGCCAGAGGGGCCTTGGGGCTCGGGTTACCTCATCCCTTTCCAGAGAAAGTAAAACACCTGGGCCCTGCTGCCCAACTTCCGAGTTCAGGTTTGCAGTAATGCACCTTGCCTTGCACACCTGCCCAGACACAATGCTTCAGTGGAGTCAGTTCACAGACTGAGCTGTGAATCAAGATAGCGTGGCTGTAATACGGTGTCTTAATACAAGCCTGAACCTTCACTGGAGGCCCCAGGTACCCTCAACATCACTGAATTTTCCCCACTGCACTTTCCCCACCTCTTGTACTCTCCATTCTCTCTCACAGAGACCTTGCTTGGCCTAAGCTCTTTCACTGCCATTGTTGCCAGCAGGACATTTTGGTGCCACTACTAGCAGGGAAGAAAGAGCAAACTCTTCCAGGATGCATGAAGGGACACATGTACATGTGTGTATATGCCTGTGTGTATATGAATATGTATATGTGTGCATCCATTCTGGTGGAGTCACTGATTCCTCCCCGACCTCCAGCTAGCATTTGGAAGCCAAAAGGTTTCTTCACACCCACATTTGGAAATATGCAAACTTTCTATCTAATTTTGATAATTTAAACCTGCCACTCACCTCATTATTTGGTGCTAGTGTCATCAAATAATGAATAGGCAAGAGTGTTTCCCTTAAAGTTGCTGGTATGGTACTTGCTAAATGGTTCTAAACAAATATTTATTTTTCATCTTAACTGCACAATTGCATTTTCCACCACTCCATGAGCTGGTTGTTAAACAGCCAATTTCACACATATACACAAAAGATTAATTTTTCCAAAACATTTAGAAAATTGTGAACACTTTTATACAGCGCAATGATTATCACTACTGGGTTGTTTATGCAATAAAGTTTCATGTCAAATTCTTGTTGAAAATAACAGAGTTTATTTTGCATAATGGAAGCTATAAAAGATTGTAATCAAAGCCTATCAGAGTATGAAAAGCAATCACCACTGTGTTAATCGCACACTTCATAATTAACTGCTCTTTATGCTTACTGCAGGCACTGCTTAGGACTTCATCATCATCTTTGGTTTTGCCAGTTGTGGACTGTGATGCTGTCAGTCACCTTTCAGACTATCTCCAGGAAACACTGAACTGGACTGTCGTAAATGTGGAAGGCCCTGATAGATCACAGCTGAGAATGAATGCCTCCCAACCCAACCTATTTGTGATAAATCTACACCCTACAAGGAGGTATGGGGTATAATTTGAACTAGAACTCTAGCATAATCTCTCTGTTCTTATTCCCATTAGTTCCCAAATTTATAATACTTTAGTGGTTTTTTAAAAATATAGTCTAATCTTTGTATTTTTTTAAAATGTGCTTTCCTCTGAGCAATGCAATGTAGTGCAGCATTCCAGAAGTATTCTAAACCATCAAACAGTAGCACATGTGCCAAGTGTTTATAGGCCTGATGTGCTGATTATATAAATAATGTAAAATGAGCCAAATGGAATCCACTGATGGACCTTTTCAGTATAAAGTCCACTGACTTGATGAAGTTCAGGCACTGCAGTTCCCATCAGCTACAGCAGATATGGGGAAACTCCTGACATGGCTAGTCTCTGGGTTCTATCAGCTCCACTTGCCATGGCAAGTAGCCAACAAGATATGCACCACAAGGTTCCCCACCTCTGATCTATGGCATTCAGGAGAAAGATGTAGCCTAACCAGTAGTAGTTATGCACAATGATTCCCCATTCCATTCCTTTATTTTGTCTCTTGCGCACATTTCCTCTTGAATTATGTGTTGGCCCCACATGTTTTGCTGCTACCTGCCTGGCACCAAATTTGCCATCTTTTCAGTACTAGATCAAAACAGCACTTTATGCAGGGGGCTTTAAAAATCACCTTGGTTATCCATGAGCCTGAGGAGATTATTCTGGTGTTTCTTTTTCTTGCTGGGTCTGTTTATTGTATTTTAAAGCGATTTCAAATTACCTTTAACTTATTTTAGCGTGGTCGTTTTATGTTATTTTCATTGTATTTTATTGTTCTGTTTTCTACATTGTTGTAAACTTCCCAGAAAGCTTCAGGGCAGTATAGAAATGAATAATTCCAGTTTAATCTGAACAATTTCTTAATCTAGAAGCTAGAGCTGGAGCATGTGCCATTCTCAGTCTTCATTCCCTTCCATTTTCTCTTTCCCTTACTAAAGTGCTCACAGGCATTGGTAAAATACAGAAACAGCAAAGGAACTTATGAAATTACATGAAGTGGTGTGGTCGTAAATGTTGATGTCCATGAGCTTGTTCTGACAACCCCCTTAGCCATGCCCCAAGGAGAACCCAAATTTATATCCTGCTCTCCTATTATTTACACTTAAAAGAGTTAACAATCTGGTTCAGAACTTTCTCATAAGATGCAGACATCCAGAACAAACAAACAACTCATAGATTCTCAGAATTGGTTTTACAGGGTAGGACTGCAATTGGAGGCAAACCAACTTCCTTTGACCAACTGGTCAGCTCCACTGATTTCAGTGAGGCTTACTACTGACAGCACAGGTTCAGCTTGTAAAACTCGCCGAGCTTTAACAAACTGTCTTCTGCCAGTTGTCATGAAATCTCCAGCTTTTCATTAAAATTGGAAACTGTCATGCAAATAAGTGTTACCAAAAGAAGATACTGATATAAGAAGTGCATCTTAGCACCTGTCATTGTGCTATCTTATAATAAGTTCAATTTTCCTAATCCCCACCATCAGTTTTGCATGTGAAAAGTCACCATAAGGTAACCTTTCACCATTGCTTTGATGTGGTGATCAACATCTTCTGAATAGGTCCATATTCAGTGTCATTGTCAATTCTCATGTTCTTCTTAGAGATACAGAAAATAAATAGTAATCCAGCCCAAAGTCATGATTGCCTTTCCATGGAACATCAGACATTTTCTATCTAGCATTCTCCTAAAAACCTCCAAGAAAGGAAATTTTACATGTGGCCACGGAACTGCTCTCAGCAGCTAAAAAATGTTTCTTGCTATTTGTGTCATTTAAATTAATTGGTTTAAAATCTTATCTTGTGCTGATAAGTATGCCTTCTAACACTTCCTACTTAATTAAAAAAATGCATGGCAAGTATAGATGTTACAAGCATTATCCTTTAGGGATCTGCACATACCTGTCTTGCAAAATAAACTGCTTTTCTAATATTTACTTAGAGAAAAAGCCATCTATTGAATTATCATTTAAAGCTTTTTTCACATGAGCTTAAATTGGCTGCATGCTGAAAATTTTCCTCTTTTTCACACCTTTGCAACCTTTTTCTGTTCATTTGAACAGAAAACAAGTGAATTTCTGTGCACATTTTTCAAAAGTGAGCACTTTACACACATTAACTAAAGTGTGAATACTCATAGCATTTCAAAAATTTATATTTCAAAGTGTGTATTTTAATGCATGTGTGCACACGTGCACTTGTGCATGCATATGCTTTCTGAACGAGGTTACATGCTCAAGAATGTGCAAACGTTTTCCTAATGCATTCATATTCACATTTGTGAACAAACCAAGTTCACATTATTTGGGAACTAAAACTAAATGCTCGTACATCCCTAGCTATTTGGCCCTTTTCTGCTCCACTGGCACATTTTCAAGGGTGTATAAGCCTTGGTTCTCCTCTACTGTTTGCTCTTAGAGTTTTCACAGGCCCTCATGCCAAATGCCACTAGATCCTGAGCTCCATTCATGGAGAGCAGGCCTTCTGGGAAAATCCATTGAGTGCTGTGAAAGATAAGACAGTGGTATATATAGAATTGGTCTGTGATCTAATATGGAAATTTCTGCATTCCTGTGTTGCTTTTCCAACACAATCTTCCATTATAGGCAGTTCTACAGGTGTTGTCAGCAGTCTTATTAAGTAAAATCATTCAATGGAAGAATAAATTATTGAGTCTGACAAGGATCTGATTATCTGTCTTATCCAATAATAGTTTGTTCTGTTGGAAGCGTAACCATTATTGACTTTGTTTCTAACTAGCTTTTTCTTTTATTTGCTCAACAGCAAATTAACCTGAAAATGTTTGATCTCTTAGGGAGGAAATGATTGCTGATTATAAAAAATACATCCTAGATAGGGTATATTCATTCATCTGTCTCATTTTGTAAATTCAGCCACTGTGGAGCAAGTAGGTGATCCTGCGAGGTACTGCGGCAGGGGAGGTGGTGATAAACCCTTGCCCCCACTGTCGCTTTCCCTGGGCCCATTTTAGATTCTCAATTTTGAAGTCTTTCACATGTAGCTTTCAGAGTTAAGCAAAACCACTCACCAGCATTTTAAAGTGACCTCTAAAATTATTCTGCTATTACAAACAAAATGTCCAGCTTTTCAAACTACAAGAAATGATCTCTGCATTTTATAGCAGGTTCAATTTTTCACCTCTCATCTGGAAGACAATTAATTTAATGAATCCCCTGAATGGTTGTTTCTGTTATCTGAAAGTACAGTCCTTAAAAATAAAACCAAACAGCAAAATCAATTTCATGTTTCAGTTATAGTTTTGTATATTATTCTGTTAGCTTTCCTCTAAAATAGTATGAAATGTTTCACTATTCAATAAATAGTTCTAAAATTACCTGCAAGGGGCATTGCTACTTTGCAATATTTTAATTTTAATTTTTATGTTTCCATGTAGAGCAAATGAACTTTCTACGCGAAAGGAATTAATGGAAAATGGTAAGAAATACACAAATAATAAGTTGTTCAAGGGTAGGTGTGCTGATTGGTCCAGGCACTCATTCTTCAATGACTTTCTAAGGGTCTGTTTTATCTATGAAGAGGAGAACGCTGCGGAAGAGGTGATGGGAGGGCAGGGAGATCCAAGAGGGGCAGGTGTCTTTGGTGCTCCCTCAAGATCATTGTCCACAGTTTCTCAGGCTAACTGCGAAAGACGGCATGTTTTGAAAGAGATGGGATGAGATGCAGGAGGAGGAGGCAAGGCATTGCCTTGCCAAGTCTCTGATGCTGTAAAGAAATGTCAGGAGAGATAAGCTACCCAGTTAGAGGGCTTATGTAGGTCTTTCCAGCTAGCTCTCCACAGTGGGAACCACCCTGAGGGTAGATTTATTTATTATTTATTAAAACATTTCTATGCCGCCCCGTTCGCCGAAGCCTCGGGGCGGCTCACAACATAAAGTGTAAAGTCTATGTTCTTTTTTTGAGTCTCTTTAGCACAGTCTCAAGAAGAAAATGTTTGGGTTGCTGAAATCAATCCAACCAATGCAAAAATGCACACAAAAGAAATCCTTTGTTGAACTGGTGTTGCACAAACCTGTTGCTTGCCTAGGCTAAAGAGAAATGTGCTTTCTGCTGGACAATGAGAACTGTTTTACACAATTTCTTATTACAAAGATGATACTCTCCCCCATAGATACAAAATGCACCAACCCATTGTTAACACAAACAAACATTTAGATGAACATATGCGTGCTTATGTTCATGGAAAGAAGTTTTGAGAACTTGCCATTTTAGCTGCCCACATCCTGGGGCTTGCAAATGGGCTCAGTCCCCAACAAACATTAGGCTACTGTAAGGAAAAAAAAAAAATTTAGCACCATCAATAACAACAGTAACAACAGTAACAACAATATCACTATCATTATCATTAATATTTGGCAACATTGCAAAAGGAAAAAAGGAAACAAAACTTTGTTGAACTCAAAAGGGAAAAGTAGCCTCATAGATTTGAAAAGAAATTCTTCCCGCTGCATGCACGTGTGCGCACACATACACAGCCCGAATTTCATCCATTCCCTCCCAATCATTCAGTGGTAACAGCAATGACAAGATGGTATACTCAGAATTCAGAACTTATACACAGACACACATATATAAGACACAGATCCATGTTGCATAGAAAAATGGAAGTTATTGGAGAGGGAAAAACTCTTGGATGGCTGACACCAATCACCTGCTCACAACATTGCTTTTTGGAAGGATTCCCTTCCTAAAAAAAAAAATCCCCTAGCAACTCATTGAGAGTGCTAAAGGATCTTTGTTTTAACCCAAACCTTGCCTCAGTTACACAACTTTATTTATTTATTTATTTATTTATTTATTTAATTGTAAGACACCAAGATTTCTTTTGAGAGTTTTCTAGAGACTCAAGACTTTCTTTTGAGAACTAGTGCAAGCCCGCCTCCAATCTGTGGCTGGAAGCAGAGCCGCTCAAATTTCCCAAAGTACTTTGAACTCTGTACATGCTCAGAGACTTTGCGTGTGCTGCTTCTGCAGTACTCACAAAGTGGTGGTATCTTCCTGCCAGAGCATCCCCCCTTTTCTTGGCTCTGTGGAATAGCCAAGCCCACAGAGTCAAGAAATCCAAATTTTCCATCACAAATCCCCCCTGAATTCAGCTGGCCAGACCAAATCCAGAGAAGAGGCTGCAGTTACTGTCTCTTTAAATAATGGGAGTGCTCTTAGATCCTGCAGCATGAAAGAAAAGGAAGGATTGGGGGAGAGTTTTCAGTTTGGGCTCAGCACTCACATACCCTTTACCTGAGCAGAGGCTATTCAGCTTGCTAGGACACTAGACGGCCTCTTAGACAAACGGAAGATAGCAATGATGAGAAAGAGGATGACAAGCAACAGCAACTGATGGCAACAGTGGAGAGAAGTCAGATTCAAGGAGGGGGCGGGAACATGGTGGATGTCTTACCCCCAAGACTGCAAAAACCTGGAACCTGAAACTGTTGATCAGTGCAACAATCTCCATTTTATATTGCAATTTATATTGCAATTTATATCCTGCCTTTTTCCTACAAAGGGCTCAAGGCAGCTTACATCATTCTCCTCCTCCATCTTATCCCCACAACAACAACCCTGTGAGGTAGGTTGGGCTGAGAGTCTGTGACTGGCCCAAAGTCACCCAGTTGGCTCCATGGCCGAGCGGGGACTAGAACCCAGATCCTCTGAATCCCAGTCCCATGCTCTTAACCGCTACACCTCACTGGCTCTCAGGGATGATTTTGCAGGGATGATCACCACAAGGAAAAAGTCTTTCACAGGAATTCAATTGTTTGATAAGGCAGTGAATGGAAATCTGGGTAGCAAGTGCCTATTGTGGGTCTGTATCTGCACTGTAGGCTGTGGATGGCTGTTCCTATTTATTGCAACAGAGTTGCAAATTGTCTTCTCCACCCACTGATCCATGCTGCACGTGGCAATAATTCTGCAAATATAGATCAAACTTATTCATGTTTGTAGAAATATATCCCACTGAAGTCAATGGAATTTGCTTCTACAACAGTTGCAGCTTCACAATGCAAATGGAATTTCATTGAAACAGAGGACCAAATTTATATGGATTATAATGGCTACAGAGCATGGTTTTAAGTGGCTTTATATCACAGTTTCAGCACAGATAAAAGAAATCCATAGATAGCTATAGGTCAATGGAAGATTTTAGAACAAGAAATCTCTACTTTTGTTGTCATCAAGATTATTTCCAACTTTTTCACACATGATGTTTGATATAGTTTCTTAGAACTGTCTTGGCAGTTTACCCAAATGATGTACCCAACAGTGCTGCTTATGTTATCACATGGAAATTTTGGTATGCCTATCTCTGGACTTTTTTCCCTGCCTTGTTTCACTTGCCAAGAATGTAGGCTATGATGCCTGCCTGGATATAAAGTTTATTATGAAAACTTCCCACTGAGTTCTGTGCAGTTTCTCAGGCCAACTGCAACATGAGCAGGTCAGAACTAGATGGGGGACCGAGATGCTCACATAAGCTTTTCTAGATCTTTTCATGCTTACAGACTCCCTTTCAGTCCTTCATGTTAACTGACATTCGGGATTAGGGTTTACATGCACACCCACATTCCCTTCCCACTTTCAGTTTACTTATGTTGCAAGAAAACACCTACATCAAACTTGATTCTTTGGTATCGTGTTATTAGCTGAACCCAACAATCAGCAATCACAAGACCACATTTGTGTACACACAAATTCAGCCCACATCAACCCATCTGACCGATTCATAGGCCAGCATACCTGCAGTAAATTGAATTGGTGATATGAGTTGAAATGGGTTGAGTTTGTGTATATAGCAATGTGGTCATGTGATTGCTTCAGCACACACCAGCGTCTAAGCTTTTCAATGCATAAGAACAAGGGGAAGGAGAACTGTGATATTTTTAAAGAATTGCCTGGTGGTACTTCTAGGCAGATGGCTCCTAGCACTGCCAAACAAATTGAAATGTGCTGTTATTCTGTATTTCCCTCTTTAATGGATTTTTGCAGAAAGAAACAAAGAGGGAAACACAGGGCTGGGTTCAACATGGCTGGGATCAGCAACCCAGTGTGGTTTCCATGATGTGACTTGTTTTGCCTGGATGGGCCTGACTGTTGATCAAGTGTTTTTGATGCTACCCCAGTTTCCACTCTCCTTATTCAGTCCTCCTACTGTTGGCATGAATCCCACCTGCCACCATGCCTGAAATTCAACCTCACGTTGAATGGCTGGAGCAGCTCTTGCAGATGCTATTCTTTCCAGGTGACTTTGTGGTAGTTGCGTACCATGACTGTGAAAAACACAATGCCAGGTTCAAATGACTGGATAAACCATGGTGAAGCATGGTGAAAACCTTAGAACAGACTGTTGTTTCTTGTCATGCTTTCTAAAAACCAAAGGTACCATACTCGAATACCACAGCCAGGTTCAGATGGTATGGTGGACATTCCCACACAAGAAACCACCATGTCTTGTGATGTTATGTGGACCATCTAACATTTCTCCCCCATCTCAGTTCTGAGAATGAGACAGAATAATTGCATGATAAAAGCACCATCGATAACCACACCTGGATTAAACATGGATCCCGTGGTGTAAAGGGAATATTTAATCATTGTATGACCTAACCTAGGATATGACACCTAATTAAATTAATATTTTAGCAAGAATTCTCCCTGTTTTGGAAGACTGTGGTGAGAGTAGCACAAAGGAAAAGCCCCCTCCAGTCTTTTCTCTTGAACTATTCAGTAGCTCTGTTAATATACTTCGGAATCACCTTCAACAGCTCCTAAACCTTTGAACTTTTTCTGAACTTTTTTGCTTCATGTAATGTAGGCACTAAACTCTTCAGGGCAATGCAGTTGTCTTGCTCTGTTTTTGTAAATTGTCATGCACATTATGTAACATTATGACTATTAAAAAATTAATAAGCCCAGACACTTCTTCCAGGCCTGGTATGCATTGCCTTCTAAGATATCTTAGCTCTTTTAAGTGAAATTAATGACTTGGCAAGCTATTATAGTACATTTCTTTTTACAGACAAAATAATTGGAGAATTTACTAAGCATTTGCAGCTACAAGGAATGGAATATTTAGCCATTTATACAGCCAGGAGACCTTCAACGGTGAGTAGTTCCCTAACACTAGAAACATCACATGCTTGGCATATGGCAAATACTGCCATCCTATACATTTCTAGTCAGAAACAAGTGAAGTTGAACACAGGCATGTGGGTCTAGGAGGGGTCCCCAAACTTTTGGGGTTGGTCAGCACATTTGAAACTTTGAGAGGATGTTGTGGGTGCTACCATGAAATGGTTGCTTTAAAAAAGTTACAAAAAGTGAGAGGAAAAACAATGAGTTTTCATGTGTTTTGTTTGCAAAAACCTGTAATCATGACCTCCATGTTACAGTTCTCCTGCACAGTGAGGGACTGAGTAGAAAGGGTGTTTATACGATTATTCTTGATTACAAGGCGTTAATAAGATTACCTTACTGTATTGTATTTCATTACAACTTCATTATTCAGCAAAGGGGAGGGATACTACAAAATATTTGATTTAGTGTTATGTTCATATTCTTCCTTTTCTCCCTCTTGCAAAAAACTTAAGGTAAATTATGTGATCCACCTTCTCTCCATTTTATCCTCAAAGTATCCTTGTAAGTTAGTTTAGGCTGCCAGTCAGAGACTGCCTCAAAGTCAACCAGTGAACTTCCTGGTTGGTTGGGGATGTGAGCTCAGGTCGCCCAAGTTCCCATCCACATGCTCTAACCACTACACCACATGATGTACCTTAGAGTCTTTCTGTGAAGAATTCCAGCCAGCCAGCCATGCTGTCATCTAGGAGATACCATTCTTTCCCCCCTGCCCTGGTTTTCCATTCCATTCCAGCCTTCACCATCAAACAGTGCTCTGCCATCCTCACTCTTCATTGACTTGTTTTGGAGACTTTCGCCTCCCCTGCACTACCTTGCAGCCTGCACAGAAAGAGCTGCACCAGCTGCCCTCTGAGATAAAAAAAAGCAACATTGGAGGTGAAGTAAAGAGGCCCTTCCAGTGGATGGGGAGGGGAGGAAACCCAGGAGGCCAGGGCAGAAGTTCTTCCAAGTCCCTTCCAGCCTCCTTCCATCCTCTCCACAGGACCTTCCCTAGATGGGATGAAAATCTGCAGGGTGGGAAGTGAGATTTTCCTCCACTACTTCTCCTGCCCTGCATTGGATGATCAGATAACATCCAGATTCAGGGGTTCCAATGACTGAGGGTGTGATCAATAGGACTGCACTGTAAGTCTGGTATGAGAGCATATTACACAACCTTTTTCCCTAAACAAACAATTAAGAATTAAGAACAAAAACTGCAGTGATGCACGAAGGGGAAGGTTTCATTCCATAGCAACAGAACTAGTCAGCACCAAGATGGAGGAGCCACAATCACAGAGTGCTACAGAGCTAACCATCATTGCCTGTGTGGCCACACTTTGCTGTGGAGATGCAGCATGGCTCTCACTCACTGCACCCTGTTGAGATAGTTTCATTGTCGGATTCTGAAGAGGTGCAGGAGTGGCGGGCAGTGGGTTTTGAAGGTTCAAGGTGGCTTAGTGAAGTTTAAAGTGGACAAAGCATCTGGTCCTTTTTCTCCATCTTCTTTTAGCCTAACTGTACATCCAAAAACTAAATTTTGACTTGCAGTTATAGACAAGATACTGAATGATTTCCATCTAAATCAGTCATATTTCCACATGCATCTCAAAGAAGGGTTTAAATTGCAGGAGCACTTCTCCAAGCTGGTTGAAGAAAGCTGCATATTCCTCCAAGGGAGACATTTGAGAGCACTCAGAAATCTCCACCATTAGCCATGCTGGCTGGGGTCAATAGGAGCTGAAGTACAAAACATCTGAAGGGAATTTGCCACCAAAATTTTTCCTACGGCGCTAATTACATTCATGTATTACATTTCTGTGCATAGCACAGCACTATTACTTTGCACACGTGTTGGATTACTCTGCTGTAACTTCTGGAGTGTTAGCGCTCTTGCCTTATTCCTGCCAAACCCTCAAAAGCAGGGAGTAAAGCAATGACCTGCCTTTCAAAGACCACACAAAAAACAACTACAAAAAAATCCTATTTTCAAGCGTGAGGGAAGAGGCTCACATGTTGCTGTGGAGAAAGAATATTCTTCTGAGGTGGCCCACCAGGGAAAGGCATCTTCATTTATCACAATTGCCACTAGTTTTGCAGCTTTACATAGTGACAAATAATGCATGTATGAGCCATCATGCTAGCCAGAAAAGCCTTCTAATGATTTATTACCTACTGTGCTCAAAGTCAGCCACGAATGTGAGAGAGTGTATTTTCAGAAGTAGTGCATTTCCGAAAAGTTTCATTTCATCTTTGTGAAAAGCCAGAAGGCCCATTCCAGTTTCAACAAGTTAAGCTAAATCCTGTTTTGAAAATACAGTGCCTGCTGTGAGCTCATAAATGCAACCACTGCCTCAATTTTCTCCCCTTTCTTCTTGTGAATAGTCTGTAATCTAATGCTCTGAAGCATCCACCCGGTTCACTGATCTATACATACTGCTGAGATTTCATTTACCTGGGACTAAAGTTCTCTCCTTTGTGGATGTGTGCTCTCACCTAAATGCTGATTCCTACATGTTGCCAAGTCATTCATATTTCTACATGCAGGAAGATTTTTTAAAACTGTATCTTCCTCAGAATCTAGTCACAGAGAAAGGTTTTAAAGGCTGTATTGTTCATTGTTAAACTATATATAAGTTCTGAAGTTAGATATTGATCTTTAATTATTATTTTTTATATTTTGACATTTTTTCAATTTAGTATGTTGATTTTAAGGGCATAAAGGGCTAGTTTGTAGAATACATCACACACTTTTACATTATGTCCCTTGGCCAAGTCATGGCAAAGGAATTCAGAGATATCTACCTTATGAGTATACATTGTTTCTCAGTTATTCCATGTGTTCAAGAGTACAGTTGTCTTTACAGAAAATTTCTGCTGCCATTTCCACTCCGAACTCTCCTAATTTCCAAAGATTCCTTTCAAAGGCTTACATGTTTTTAAGTAGCTACATTTTAATTCCTCTCTAATGAAGTTTTACAGAGGCATTTTTCATTCATATAACTATATATATATATATATGTATGTATGTATGTATATATAGTTATATTTGAAAGAATAATCTGATTATTTATTCATTCACTTGAACTTTTAATATTATGTAAAGAACTGCAAAATAGTTCCAGAGCTTCTGCATATATTTCATAGATATTTGCTAGGACTTGTGCTTTCCCATGAGTTCCAGCTAATACCCAGTAATTATATGCAGAGATGATGGGTATTATTATTATTATTATTATTATTATTATTATTACTACATTATGCACCATCCTTCTTCCACCAAGGTGACTTGTAAGGTTCTCCTCTTCTCCATTTTATTCCATCTACTACTCTGTGATCCCCTCAGATTAGTCTGAGAAGCTGTTACTGGTCCAAAGTCACCTAGTGTGATTCACGGCTAAGTGGGGACTAAAACCCAGATCTCCAGGGTCCCAGTCTAACATGACAACACACTGGCTCCCAACATTAGTTTCTATGGAGCATTATTAGATAAACTATTCCTCATAAGGTTTTACTAAATGTATTTAGTGATATTATCCTGAGTTGCTTCTTGGCCTGAAAAGAAGTGTCCTTTGATTAACTGTATTTAAAAGGTTTCAAAATGTATTAATCTCTAGGCACTTTTCCATTTGATTCTGCTGATCTCTGATATGTTGGAAGACAGGATACCCATATTTGGTGCAACTCGAACCTTCCATCTCTGGATTTTAATTTCTCCTCGTCATCATGAAAACCATTGCCCATTGAGCAGAATCCAGGAAACCATCTCTTCTCCCAACCCCATTAAAAATTGAAATGATTACTGTTTAAAAATTGAAAACAGTACTGCGAGGGTAGCAATTTCTGTTGCTCATTTTTTATTTCATAACTATTTCATAATCTTGAAGCACTAGACCACAAAGTAGTGTTATGTTAAGAAAGCCATTCCTGATTCATTGTGATCTTTCCTAAACTTTACATTCCTAGACACTTTCTTACTCAAGAGGTTAGTGTCTGCTCATTATTTCTTATTCATGGTTGCATGTGAGTTCTTTATATGATGTTGGGACAATCTCATTTCAGTTCAGTTTTTTAAAGAACACATTTTCAGGAATTTTTTAGAGTGGGAAACATTATGAGTAGTATTTGAGAAAGCAAAATTATACATACATACATACATATATTACTTGTCTCATTATTCATCTATAGCACATTGCCACCTAGAGGTTATCTGGCAGACCTGCTGGAAAGGCTTGGGCTGCAATTCTGTATCAAAGTGGAACATAGATACATTGGATTAATGGCTTCATGTAGAAGAGTGCCATGATTCTTCAAATGGTACTGTAATGAATGTGTGTGTACATAAAGAATTAATACAATTTATTTTATATATCTTCAAGACCAATGTTTTTGGAAGGTGATTCAGAAGGTGATTCATATTTGGATAGCCAGATATCTTTTTTAAAATGAAAAAATCAGATGTTCACAGAGTGTTCATGCCCTACCAGAGGGGTGAATGAAATATGCTTCCCCTCACATAATCTTCAAAAAGAATGTCACTAATTCTCCCTGTGGGGCTTGTCTGTTCAGGTACACTGGTAAAAAAGGTCCATGAAAAAGAGAAGCAATGGATTTCTACAGGCAGAGAAAGTACACACACACACAGAGATGGAGACTGTCTCAGCAGCTAAATCCTGGATTTTGCAAAGGATTTCTGCTGGAGTTGTAAGGTTCATGGACCATAGCACAGGGGGTAACACTTTCCCTCACATGATAGTTCTGATTAAAATAGCACATCCCTTCCCGAGAATATGTGTTCCTGAATTTGCTCATGACATTGTATGTAACTGTTTTCTCTAGTTGTTGATAGCTGAAGTTATCTGGGTTGTTTACAGCAGCACGTGACATACAGATAAAGAAAGCTCCCAAAACCGGCATTGTTGCATTTGAAAGATGCACCGTAAAAATTACTACTTCTGTGTGCATTTGTGTCCCCTTCTCTCTGAAAAATCATAAGGGCTACAGTGCAGGCACAGTTAGGCTGCTTCAATTCTGTTAACTCCAGTGGGGTTTGTGCAGTTGGTATATAGGATTTCAATCCACATCTCTAGTGGTTTGACTAAGAAACCATATTCATCCTTTTGGAATCAGACAGTACATATCAGAAAGATGAAGGCCTCATGACTTTCACATCATGCTTTGAAAATAAATGTCTGCCTTACATTGTTTCCTGCTTTTTTGTGAAATCAAAAATGCCTTTCATAAATACTGTGCAGAATATGAGAAAGAATGTCACTTATGAGTTTGTTGAGGGACTTAGTATCCCACAAAATAACAATTTCCTTGCCCTTAAGAACATGCAGAACTTTGGCCAAAACCACTTGTTTGGTACCCAATCTCACATGTCTTGAAAGGAAGAGGTTTGGACTGTGACATCATGAAAGGCAAACTTTCTGTATGTTTGGAATTGGCCTCTGTAAGAAAGAAGCATCAAATGTGGTAATTGTGAGCACTGCATGCTAACTTTAACTAAATAACCATCTCGAACTAGCCATGTTAACCTTTATTCATAGCTGGGCAATCAGAGGTCGGCTGTTTAGTGCCCAAAAGTAACTGCCCTGTTGCATTAGTTTTATTTCCAGTTGCCTCTAAATGATCTTGTCCATGATCTCAAATCCTTTGAGGGTATTTCCTCATGGCCCTAAGAGCAGATGAAGGAGAGTGGGATGTGCAGGTCAGCTCTGCCCCTCTTGTATATTCCCTTCTCCTCATGTGAAGTCTTCCCTGACTTGTGATGTACTTCTTCATATTTGATGATGATGATGATGACAGTGATGGTGGTAAGGATTACTACTCATGCTCGGATACAGCTTTCCGGTGAACTAACCGAGTGCTTCACAATAACAATAAAACTAAAAAGTGCAATATAATAAGCACTGGTGGGCAATGAATATAAAATTACATTGACTGGGTCACATCTTGGGAAGAGGTGGGTCTCATGAATTCCTCATGATGATGCAAGCTTCAAAGTTGCACGGGGACCCCTAAGCTTAAATAATGCTCCCTACTTCAGGAGGTTTGCCCTTCAACACACAGAAGACTGCAAATGAAGGGACGGTGGTGTGTAGGAGGAAACTGGGGCTTGCCAGCATCCTTCAGCACACTCCAAGGAGTTTCAGTCCTGTAAAAACAAGGACAGCTAAATAAGGCTTTCCCTGCAACAAAGATCCTTTGCTTCAGATCTGGTCTGCCATGCAACCTGCTTCCAGGTTCAGCATGCTGGACTTCTTTTTTTAAAACTGGGCCTGTCCCACTATTAGGCCAAGTGAGCCAGTTGGCTCAGGCAGCACCCGCCCTGGGAAGATAGCTATAACTCCCTGGCCTCCTAGTCTTTTCAAGCCACTGATCGGGCTTGTGGTGGCCCTTCCTGTGCACGGCACAAAAGCGATGGTTGCCAGGAGGCTGCAGCGCTCACTGGCAGTTCCAATGGGATTTCAGCTGCTGCACTTGATGCAGTAGGAAATCTCTGCTTTCTGTGCATCTTGTTGGCAGAGACTTTCCTTTTCTTTTTTGTCTTGCCAGCTCTCCTCTTTCTTTTCCTCCCGTTGTCACTCATTTTACCCCTCCTCCATTTCCTCATTTCTCCTTCCCCCACACCGTCTTCTCCCCTCACATTTTGTTTTTCTTGCAATAGTGATGTCAAGGAATCACACCAAAAAGTGTGCGTGTGAACTGCTAAATAGTCCTTAGAGTTTTAGACAATTAGTAGACATATTAACAGGGATCACTCAGGATACAGAGCTAATTAACAGCTCTGTTTTGCGTTCATGACTTGGTAAAGTTGGCCAAACCCTTCATTTTAAGGATTCAGCTTACTTTACTGAGCCACTTCTGCTACTATTTTCTTTCTCCTCCATCCCTGTTACTTCTGGTCTTTCTTCTTTTTCTTTCCTGTTTTTTTACAGCCTTAACTATTAGAGAGGTGTGTGTGTGTGTGTGTGTGTGTGTATACACTATGCTGCAGCATATATTAGTATATACGTTACTTATTATTAACATACATAGGTATGATTATATTGATTCACATAACTGCCAGGGAATTATGATGATCTTTTTTACTCTGGGAAGAGGGCAGTTCACTCCACTTCCATTTAGTATATTGTAATAAGAAATCATTTAATTAAATTATTGTATGTTTCATTGCATTATTGAAGAGTAGGATATACCTGTGGGTAAACTTAGTGAAAGGATTTGTGGCACCACTATGAATGTAAAAGCTTTGACTGCCTGAAAATGAACGTATTCTTGACTTCATTCCTTCCTTCCGAAATCAAACTATTCCCCCTTGCTCAGTCATACATACACAATCTTATTTTCCGTTATTAGTACTAAGAATCTCATTAGACAATGTGCTTGCTGCAATATCCGCTCACATGTAGCCAATTGATTGAACACACCATAATTTAGTCTTTATAACCTTTTCTCTCTGTGAAGTAAAATGCTTACAGTTTGAGAGCAACAAGAGAGATTATTTTTTTTAATTAAAACGGAATACTTATCTTCTTTTTAATATATTCCTTCATTCAAGGAAAAGGTTTCTTTCTTTAAAGCTGGCCACAATCCAAGAAAAGTATTTGCATTTATGTCCCACAGGAAGCAATGCTACAAGGTTTAAACCTATATGCATGTGTACTGCTTTGGGCTGCAGGCAGATGCTCCCACACTGGCACATGGGGGGAGAGAGGGGGACTTCTTGATGTGCTCTGGTGTGAAAAACCTACAAAGTTTGTAGCAGTGGGCTCCGTGCCCAGCCAAGACATGTTTGCTTGTTCATGGGTATAGAACCTGCCACTTCTTTGCCCAGGTGGGCTTCACAGCAAGAATATTTAGCCGGTGTGGAAGTTCTCGGAATTCAACCTGATATAAAAGCCATTAGGAACCTCTTATAGCAACAGTGTCTTTTGAGTCCTAAAGAATTGAACAAGCTTTTTGAAATCTCCATAGTAAATACTAGCACTTCCTTCTGTACAAAATATGCTTTTAATAAATTGAGTAATTGTTCAATTTCTCTCTAGGGTTGGTGCCCGTTTTATCCTACTGGGAGTTTATCAAATATTCTAATCAGTCAGTGACATTAGAAAAGTGTTGGTTTGTGGGATGCTGAGTTACAGTGGCAGAGTGTTCGTTCAGCTCATGCGCGCGCGCGCGTGCGCGCACACACACACACACACACACACACACACACATGCTTGAATAAGAAAACCCACAGGTGAGATTACCCAGGGAAGGAAGTTTCCCCATAGGTGGTGGCAGTTCCAGGGAGATAAAATTCTCCATAAACTATTACTCCAATAGGTGGAGGGTTGGATCACAATAAAAGATGGTTCTTAAGATCGTTCATTCATCCTCTCACTTTGGGGACCACTGAAGTTTATCATTCCTGTATTCTTTATTTCTGTTTCTGCAAGAGATGAGTCCCTTCCAACAATTATTTCCCTCGATGAGTCCCTTCCAACAATTATTTCCCTCGCTTTCCTGCTCTGGGGCTTTCATTGTCCCCAGCAGCAAAAGAGCTGTCAGAAAGGGAACAGACTTCTCTCCAAGCCTGTTTGTCTTTATGCCTCCAAGGGCTGCATTTATTTCCCTAAATTGTTGTAAACTGTCCTGAGATATTTATATAAAGGACGGCATACAAAAGATTTTAATAATAATAAGCATCATCATCACCATCATCATCTCGGATGCTGTGCTCATTGAGTGTATATAGGAACACACTGGTTCTTTCTAACTCAACAATGATCCATTTGTAAAATTGTTGTGAGTTTCCCTCTCTCACTCCCATGATAGTAGAACCTTTGGTAATCCAATGAAGCAGAATGGTGGAAGTCCTTCTTCACAGACCATTTGCCACCATGAAATGTAACGGCCACCAAGACGGACAGCTAGAGGGATTAAACAAATAAGTGAAAGATAAGGAAATCAACAGCTTACTAGACATGGCGGTGCTGTATAGCCATCAATATCAGAGCCAGCATGCCTTGCTAGAGAACATGAGCAGGAAGATGAAATTACACACATGTCCTGCCTGGGGATTTCTATAGGCATCTGGTTGGTCACTGTGACAAAAAGGGACAGTGGACCAGACAGGCTCGTGGTCTGACCCAGCAGAGCTCTTTCCTTCCTATCATGCATTGCCTAATGGGCAGCCATGTTAGTCTTTTACAGCAAATAGCAGCCTGTGAAACTGACATGCAAGGCAGTCTAGGTTTGCTTTCTTTCTACTTTCTTTCCACCAGCAGGTAAAGACTGTTTTATTTAAGAAGGTATTTTAGCCTGTAAATGAGTCTGATGGGTTTTGTGCAGGTTTTAATAGTAATTTTCCTGTAATTGTTATATTTCTATTGTACTTTGACATACTGTTTTATTGTTTCAATCAACTTTTGGTAGGGAGGCAGAGTGCAAATTAACTAACTGACAAATGAGGGAAGGGGAGGTTTATTAGCTCTGGTTGTTTCTTCCAGGAATTTATTATTTTATTATTTATTCATTTATTTTATTACAAGCATTTGTATCCTGTCCTTCCACACAAGTGCTCAGTGCTGAGCATGCTCCGAAAGTCATGAAGCTTGTCAACGTCACTAACTAGATTTGCACCTCTGAACCCCAAAAGACTGACAGCAAGTTCCCTCTTTTTCTTTTCTTTCTTTTTTCTGAAACAGTCAATTATTAAAATCAAGATATGGGAATACATGGCACTTTAGCTGTCACCTTTGAATCAATATGTGCTCAAGGTTTTATTTTATGTCAAAATAATCTGCAGAGTTCTTTTATGGTGTTCTTCTAGGTACCAGTGAGACTGGATGTATCCTGGCACAGTAAACGACAACTAATGTCTGTAAAAGAAGAAAAGAATGATCTTTATCCTCCACTGAATGTGACCACTGAGGTCAATGGGACAGACGTCATATGCATCCTCTTTTATGCCACTAATTTCAACATTACAACCAAAGATGCTCACATGGATCTAGCATACCGAACATTTGTGTCAGGTGATGTCAGTACCACTTCGTCTTATTGTTCAGACACCAATGCAACGTGAGTATGATCAAGACACATTTTCCCTTGTAATAGTCTTCAGCAGTTAGGTAGAATATTAGCTTGGTGTGCTGGCTTTTTATTGTAAAAAGTACTATAATTTAGCTTAGTCAAAACATGTAAATTACTGATTCAAAAAAGATCAGATTCAGAAGGATTTTTATTACAATACAATGGTGAAATTGCTCACTTCACGTATCTCTGTGCCTTTGCTTTTTTTTTTTTTTTTTTTGCATTTGCAAAATACTTTGCAATCCTGGTTTTCTTCATTCAGAAATGACTTTGTACTGAAACCTGCTCAACAGTGGAGTTGGGCAAGCTATTTCATGCTTGATTCAGATTGGAGCCAGCAGTTACTGGAGAGTATGTGGCATGAACTCTAGTTTTGCTTGTTTGCTGAGAGAGCTAGTGGTACTCACTGTGATTCGGATATTTTTGGTCTGAGCTGATGTAATTAAATGCAAGCTTTGACACCTGAGGAAGGTAGGAGCAACCTGTGGCCGTTGGCCTCATTTCACACAGAGTGGCAGAGAGAAAATGAGAGGGTGAATGCATGGCACAGCCTGTGTGTGACTCTGGATCTGGCTGTTCCCACTGTGGACTGCAGTTCCTCACTGAGGATTCCCATGGGCCAATGGCCCGTCATGGCTTGCGGCAGTGGCGGGGGCAGGGGGGACTTACTCTAGCCACATTTGCAAGTTCTGATCTTCCAAGAACAGAAGAATTAGAGCTGAATACTATGTTTGTCTTCCTGTCCCCAAAGAATTTTGCTCTCAGTATTCCTGGGACTCTATGGAAGCGTAAGTCAGATTGCTTCCCTTGAGCCACTGAAGAAGAAGCTTGTGTGGAGTTGGCCAGGAGACCTAATTTCACTGCTGTTTATTAAAGCCATTATTTGGCTTCAGAAGTACTTATAAGAGTGGTTATCCTCTGTATGTCTGGATACCCTTTCTTATCATAGATCGGTATAATTCTCACAGGCACCAACTGCATGGGTGGCAGCTGTGTCTGTAAATTTGGGTGGGAGGCAGCATCTGGCTCCCTGTCCTGGTTGTGTCATAAGGCACTTGAATGGCATTGTAACTTCACCATTTTAAGGCAGACACCATATGAATCTGCCACAAGGTTTCACTTACATATAGGGGCAGTATAGCTCACACAGGATAGCATTGATGAGTCTAAGAAGAGAGCCAAAAATTGGTTCTGTGGATCTATTGGAAGCCAGAGTAAATTTGGATGGATGACTTTTGGGAAATAAATGGTTAATAGATCTTTTTTAAAGACAAGGGGAGGTATAGAGTAAGGATGTTTGAGGGTAAGCTGAGGACTTTTCAGGTTGTTTTGGAATAAGCAAAGATGAGGATAGTTGGTGGAAGGCATGTAGATTAAAGTTTATAAGGAACTGAACCACCTTTTGATAATCAATTAACAAATATAAACACAATAATTACTGTGAATAGAAATGGGCATATATATTGACATAGTGCAAGGGTATAAAACAGACACCCCAGATTCTGGCTTCATCCTTCATTCAAAAGTCCTTGGACATTTTCCAATCCTAAGCAAACAGTCCTTAAAGTAAGACAAATTCTGCACCACTGAATATAGTAAGCCCATTCTGTTCTTTTTCTGTTTCTGTATTAAGCATGAAAGGTGTCCCTGCATATTACTTTTTTCAAATAAAAGCTTCCTATTCTATTTTAAACCATTGTATCTCTGTGTGTGCATGTGTACTCAGTGCATCTTAACATCAAAACAGCCACTTCTATCTTGTCCAAAGTATAGTAAACACAAACTATTCTTTCCATTACTATTTCTTTCTATTACTATTCTTTCCAGTCTCTGAGAAAAGAGAAGCAAAAGACTGTAGCACTAATTTCCCATGAAGCAAAGTGATACTTAAGGTTTTGCAACAAAGAATTTTACCCCATATATGGAGCAAGAAATGCCTGACCTTCAAGCTGGATTTTGAAAAGGAAGAGGTACTTCATATCATATCATAAATGTACATTGGCTACTGCAGCACAACAAAGAATTTCAGAAGATCAGTCTATACCTTAAAGACTGCAGCAAATGCTTTGTCTGGATCCCAAGAAGCTAAGGATGGTTCTGAAAGAAATGGGTGTGCCCTGAACTTGATCACCCAGGTGCAAAAGGTGTATTGTGGACAAGGGTTAGGGTTAGGGTTAGGGTTCTGTTCTGTTAGGACAGAATAGGATTTCCTGCAGTCAAAGTCATCAGACAAAGATGTATTTTATCTCCCTACCTCTTCAATCTGGACACTGAACAAATGATAAGAAAAGATGGATTAGGATCAGAGGAAGGAGATAGAAAATTGGCGGATGATACCTCAATAATATAAGATATACCAATGATACCCAATTACTAGCAGAAAGCGGCAATCAATTGAAATGACTTCTGTTGGAAATGAAAGAAGAAAGTGCAAAGCAGGACTGCAGGTGAACATTAAGAACATTAAGAAAAACTGCAGGGACACTTTCTTAAGAACATTAAGAAAGTTCAAAGCAGGACTGCAGGTATAACATAAATCATAAATATAGAAGAATTACACAACTTTAATGTCAACAGTGAAGAAATTGAAATTGCGAATGATTTTGCACACCTTGGCCCGACCAGCAGTTTAAGTGGAGGCTGCAGGCAAGAAATCAGAAGACTGAGGCCTGGGAGGCAACAATGAAGGAAGTAGAAAAGATAGTAAAATGTAAGGATGTTTCACTGGAGACCAAGGCCAAAATCATCCATACTATTTTATTCCAAATCACTGTGTATGGCTGTGAAAGCTGGTGAGTGAAGAAAGTGACAGGAAGAAATGTAGGTGTTCAAAACGTGGTGCTGGAGGAGAGCTTTGTGAATAACCTGGATGAACAGAAAGACGAACATGTGGGTCCTAGAACAAATCAAGCCAGAGATTTCCCTAGAAGCAAAAATGACAAAACTGAGGCTGTAATTCTTAGGTACATCATGCAAAGCCAAGACTCACTGGACAAGATAATCATGCTCGGGAAAGTTGATGAGGAGGAGGAGGAGGAGGCAGCCATGGCCTTGAATACACAAGAGCTAAACAGGACTGGCATGGATAAGACATTCTGGAGTTCTTTCATACATAGGGTTGTTTTAACTCAGAGATTACATGACGGCACATAAACAGCAACAGTGACATAAGTGTTTCACAAGTGATGTAATAAATATAAATGTGAACATCAGGTCCTGCAGAGTACTTTCCTCTTGCTACTGAGTAATCATAACGAGCCATCTTAGGCTAATATTAGGGAATGGTAGATTTAAAACCCAGCACATCCGGAAGACCAGTTTCCAGAAAGAGTTCTTGTTAGAGCAAAACATTGTAGGAAGCTTATGTGATCAGTTTTGAGAGTGTTAGATCAGAACAGCATTCTGATTCATGTTTTCCATAATAATAATGTATACAGGAGGTGCAAGGAGAGATCAAGGTTGCATTTTTTCTTTCCTTGTTCAATAGAATAATTATGCATGACGTCTATTCATATGAACCTTATTGCTATGTTCTTCTCCTTGTTTTTATTAAGTGCCATGCCTTGTTTCCTTTCCCCCATTTTCATTATATGATACAATCATTTCACTGTAAGATCTCCTTAAGGAGAACACTTGCCAGTGCCTCAATTTAAGTGAACTGAATGTATGTTTATAGATCAAGGTCTCTAAAATCCCCCTTCCCTCTGTTTTTCAGAGAGATGAGAAATGGTTGCCCTTTGTGGCTTTTTGTAGTTGCATGTGCCCTCTCTGCCTTTGCCTATCAATTTAGATTGATTATTTTTCAGACCAGAAAAGGCATCATTTGAAAATAACAAAGTGTAAGAACTTTATCTCTCCCTCTTTCTGTTAGATTATCATTAAAATACACTAAGCCAATGCGTGGCATCGAGGATTTGGAAATAAGGTATTTATATGAAGTATTTTTATTTTTATTTACATTGTCTAGAATTAATTAGGAGTATAATGTTAAGCTTTCTTCAAACTGGTACCCTGAAGTCTTGGACAAGAAGCTTAGGCGGGGTGGTCAATGGTCAGAAAAACTGGTAGTTTAGTCCAAAACATCTGGAAGGCTGGGGAAAGCTGTAGTAGAAGATAGGATTCAAAAAACTATCAAACTTGTTCCATGAGCCCCTGAGACACGATCCTGTTGCCCCTTGGCAGATACTTGTAAGCCTCCAAATTCAGAAGCTTATGAGTACCCAATGCAAGGTGTAAGACAACAGGGCGGCCATCTCCACTGCAACCTGCATTTCATCCGAATAGCCGTCTAGGCTGAGCAACAGGGAAAGGAGGGAATGAGAGTGATGCTGGGATTGGTTTAACCCCACAGTTGTAGCCTCCCCCTTCTTCTCCAGCCTGCCCTTCTTGTCCCTCCAAGGACCCGTCAAAACCTTAGTGGGGAGAGCTGCCACGGTTCTTCTCATGCTAGCTGCAAGGAGCAGGGTGCACTTAACTTTTAGAGTTCAAGTTCAGACTCCAAAAAAATTATTGTCTCCTAATCAATGGCAGAAGCCATAAGATTACACCATAACAAGTTTACACTGGTTTTTCCTATGTCAACCAGAGTGGAGTTTCCACAAGGAGTTTGTATGGTGGTATTGGGTTAGCACAAACCCCTTTCATTTCTTTGGATCCTAGCCACTGACATTTATTTCATTGCTTCAGGCCCCTGCTTAGATTATATACGAACGACTAGTGCATTTCATTTCACATGTATAATTTATGAATGGATATGTATTATCGGAACAGCCAAACAACCAAATCCTGGGGGAATATCTATTATTGCCTTCTCTGCTTCCTCTTGGAGACAGTGTGGAACAGGGTGTGAAATGAAATACTGTTCCTCGGCTTCCTCCATCACCACCATGAAAAAAGCAACTAATTCACAATTAGCTAGGGTTCATTAGGAAAAGGGAAATTGGAGCTCCACTTAGAAGCAGAGTACATACAACAAATATTTAAGGTAAATGTCTTGCACTCTAGTGCAGGCTCTTTAGAGCCCCAACGATCATATACGGGTTTCCATTGTTTCAGAAAATGGTCTGTAGTAGCCTGGTTATCACATCACAATAACTGTGGCTTTCGAGGGGAGAGGCAAACCAGAATTCCTGGTTTGCATTTCAGACCAAAGAACCCAAGGTTGGAATAATCATGCTGTTACAATCATAATTATCCAGAATTTTCTTTCCTTTTTCAAATTGGGCATTGTGATATGCCACTGGGGCATTGACTATATTTTGTGTGGTTATTAGCTGAATTATCATTGTGCCAGTTGCTGTGGCAGTGGAAGCAACTGGCACAATGAATAGCTAAAAGGCAATTGATAGCAAGCAATGAAGTCAACCTAGGATATGAATAGATACAATAACCCTGGAAATAAAACATAGTTCAGTGTACTTTCGTTATCAGGACAGCAAATAGCTCACAAAACTAAACAATGTTGCAAAAGCGCAGTGCCGTCTTCCTTGAGAATAAGCCTTGGGCAGTCTAGCAAACGCAAGACCGGAAATCAACACAGAATTCAAGAAATTTGATAAAATCCTTTACCAAGAAACCAGAGAACTCATTTGGTGCAAGCTTCACAGTCCAAAAGCATCCAGTGGGGCATTAATCCACATATTTTAAGATTGCTAGGAAACAAAATTATCCTGTGATTATTTCAAATCCTCTCTTGTTAACTAGACTTCCACCCTGCTGAGGAGATGAGCATCAGTGTATATACACTAGAGAATGAATAGATTCAGTGCCTTCTAGATTTAAAATATCTTCTCCCTTTATTTGTTAAACTCACCTTAGCATCCCATTTTATTATTTAAAGTGACCTGTACTAATTGTGTATAGGGATGCAACCTCACGAGTCAGTGCTTTGAAAGCAGGGAAGGGGGGAAAGGAAACCCAGCCAAGCTGTATAAATCAGTTTGTATGTCTTAGGAAGCTGTCTTATCCCAGGTCTGGCTATTAGCCCATGAAACTCAGCATTGTCTTCTCTTGCTGGGCCAATGGCTTTCCAGTGTCTACAGCAGATGGTCTTTCACATCACATTCCTGATTCTTCTAACTGGGAATGCCAGAGATCTAACTGGTGGCAAAGCCTCAATGGTTCTGAATCAATGGCTATAATGCCAAGATGCAAGGTTTCCCAGTATGAGGTCTAACCTCAGTATTACCCCACAAGGTGGGGTGACTGTGCCAGTTGTATAAAGACCACCCAGTTTTTGTTTTCTCACTGGGAAAGGGGGAAAGAAAGTTGAGTGACAACTGGATGGAGAGAAAGTTGAGTGACAGCTGGAAGTAGTATTTTGAAAATGGGAGAGCCACTGTTTTTCCATTTCTGGTCCTCAGCTTCTCTCAGAGCAATTCCATTTCTGCCCTTGTGGCCATTCCATGACCTGCAGAGCCCATCTGAATGTATCCTTCCCCACTTCATCTTAGAACTCTGGACATGTAGATGCTTTAATTTCACCATCAAGTTAGTGTTTTTGTCCCCTCTACCCCACTCTATCCCATCCCCTACCAAAACCTGCTTTTTGTAGCATCCTTTCTGATGAAAAGATCTAAAAGGTATTAAAATCTTATGTATTTTTGTGATCTTTTTGTTGATAAAAGAATCGACCATTGTTCCACTGGAAGATGAGCAATGGAAGATTGCAGGAAAGGGAGACCTTGGAGTGGGAAGAAGGAGCTGGCCATGGTGTGTGAAGGATGAGCTAGCAACATGGGGAAAAAGCAATGATAGTACCAGGCCTCTTTGAGCAACTGCCAGAGGTTCTAGCAAAGTCAACTTACTGATGAGCTGCATCCTTTAAAAACATTCTGGCACAGTGATTCGAGTGGCTGGATCTAGCTGATTAATTTACCCTAATATTTTAAGGTAGCATCCTATGGAACATTGTGGGAAATTTTAATGGCAGCTTCTAACTGTGTGGTACTGCCAGATGTTTTGTTGTCTCCAACAGTGGTGGCAGGCAAGCTTACCGGTCCCACAATTAGGGTAGGAGGCTCATGGGATGACATTTTGACGAAGGCTCCCTTAAGCGTAGGGATGACCCTAGACTGTGTATAGGAAATTGGAAATAAAATGTGATGGCTAGGGTGATTCTTGCAAGTTTTGAAAGCACGCACTCATGCACACATGCACATATCTTTCAATTAATTGTTCTGTATTCATTCACATAAATCCATTTTCCCCAAGCAACAGAAGCTTATTTTACCGTTTTCTAAGGAAAATTGACATGCCTCCTCTTACCTGTCTGTAGGAGGCTCAGACCTAGATTTCAATAGCTGTAAAGCTTCTCATGCAGTCTTTTCAGGAAAGAATGAGGAGTTAATTTTGTGTTTCCATCGTTCAGTGGTCCAGTATGCAAGAAGACCCTCGTGGGCCCTTTCTCACTGTCAAACAGAATGACAGATTTGCAGTTTCAAATAGATGCCAAACTGAATCCAGAAACACACGCCTAATCCTTTCTGGCTACCACCTGATAATTCTTACCTCCCAAATTCCGCTGGATTTGAATCAAAATATTCTACATTTCTCTTTCCTCTAGCTTTATGATGACCAACAAGTTCTATAAAGGCTCTGCTCGAAATTGGTTCACTCTGGATTCTGTTCATATTGTACAAAATGGAACTGCTCCTGCTAAATTTAACGTCTTCAGCATTTCTGGTCCTGCAGAGTATTCATTTCATTGCCAGCTGGTGGGAACAAGCAACCAGTATGGTGCAACACTGATTCCAGACAGCAAAGAAGCATACAACTGGAAAGTTGTTATTTCTGAGTTTCAAGTGAGTACATATTACTATTCCTGAGACAATTCTGGGAACTATTACTTGCAGTAGCAACTTCTGATGGAGTTGCATGGAATATCACCTTTACTATTCTTCAAACCAAAGAAAAAGTTAAAAGGAAGCTATTCCATGCAGACACACACACATGCCAGGTTCGTTTGGCAGAATAAGCTACCCTAACCCAATGTACCTGACAGACAAACAGACACATCATGGGTAGTCTTTCCCTACCTCTTTTCTCCTTTTTCTTACTGTGGATATCCCATGGGTCCACAGAACTGTGGGCACAATTTTTTGAAATTTCATTTTGCACTAAACTTTAGAGCCCAGTATCCCCAGCTCCCAAAGCACCCAAAGTTTGGAATGTCCCAAGCCTCTGCAGGATTGGCTAAGGATAAATGTGCCCCAAAGTCACCTGAGTTTGACAGGTGGCTGTCAAAACTCATGGTACTGTTAAAACATGGGATTTAAGTGTGTTGGGTGGGTTTGGCCTGAGACATGTTCAGATTTATGCTAGTGGGATTTTGTGATGAAGTTTTGTGGACTTTTTTTAGAACAGGGTTGCATTTCCTAAAATAATAATGACTCAATGATATTAAAGTACATGCATTGTGATTTGCCTTTGTTGGAATAAAAGTGTGTTTTAAAACTGTATGTTAAAGTCACATTTGTTATACTTGATTGTTTTATCAAAAGCAGGAGATGTTAAATATCTGCTTGATAACTTACTAGATTTAACAGTGTTCTATATAGCACATGAGTTCAATTCTACTATCTTTTTGAATCTCTCTTTATATAAACTATTAGGAGATTCTACTTGGGATACACATGGGTTAGAGCAGTTCCCGATTAATCTTAGCAAAACAATGCATTTAAAATAAATAATTTAATGCAAGACATAAGATAATAAGAGAACTAGAATTTTTGTATAAAGACTTTAGAAAATCCTGTGTGGAATAGACAAAAAGGAATTACTGGCTGACATGTCCTCACTGCTCAAACTTTCTTAACAACAGGGTACAGAAATTCCTGTCTTTATGTTGCTGCCAGAGTAAAAGTACCCCTATCATAGCAAAGACAAAAAGTAAGGAAGAATGTGGCCATAAGCAGCAATTTCAATAGGTATTTTTAAACTGGGTAATCATATTAAGACAATTGAGCCTCTGTTCTGGAGTTTTGGTATAGTAACTATACCAAAAAGAACATTGTCTGGTTGTTTGGCTGGAAAGATCAATCTTGCTGTATCCTGTATATTCAGGCTTCCTGCCCTCAGCCTCCTCAGAGTCCTCTTCAGATAAAGCGCTTTAGTAACATCAAAGCCCCATTACATGCTTCTGGCACTTTGGCTTCAGGAAGGGTACCAGTATGTTTTATTTCATAGCCACTCACTGCTCTGTGGGAACTGAAACGACATTATGCGTCATCTCCTCACTTCGGCTAACCATTCAGACCTCTGCATGCCTGTGAGTCTCTTAGCAACTTTTGCCTGATGCCTGAAGACCAGCTCTGTAATGATAAGCTCTGGCAAAGGTGCCCACAGCCTAAATACACAGACTCATTCTCCCAAACAAGAAGTTTATAATCCTGTTACATTTTTAAAAATCACTCCGAAAAACACACTGGTTGCCATGCTGCGAGGAAGATATCAGACCACCCAGTTTTAGAGATACCCTCTCTGTGTGTATAAAAACAGCAGCATGTAAGTGTGTCATCTGTGTAATGATTTAATATTTCCAGCTGCTTAATTTGTGAATAAGTAATACAGGAGTGAACAGCTCTGAGAAGTTTGAGGGCCATTTTCATCCTACTCCCTGCATTTCCCTCCCCACTGGCTGTACCACATGAGTGCCAAACAGGAGAGGGGGGATTAAACCCACAAAAAGAGATCTTGACGCTGCAACAGAATGCCCAGAGCGTGAAAATTAGCTTGGAAATGCTCCATAGCAAATATAGGAACAATTTTGCTTGCAAAATTATTTTTGAGGATCTATTCATCTCCCCTTTTGATTCTGAAGAAGTTACATGTTGCCAATCCCCAATGTAATTAAAATCTGGAATCTGTGGGTGGAGGAAGCAATTTTGGGAGTTAGGGGAGCCATCATGACCTTCAATGCTCCTTCTGTCTATGGGCTGCATTCCACAGGACACTACACAGAAGAAAAGAAGTCAGAAAATTACTGGTGTGCTTCTGGAATTCCAAGCTAAATGTTGTTGTTCTGTAGCAGCTATGGAAGACCAAAAGGGCCAGATTTAGTTTGCGAAGGGTTCACCTCTTTGAGTTATTTAGTTTGTCTGGCTTTTGGGTCTCCTCCCATGGCATCAATGGTCTGCCTGCACAGATACTGCCTATCGAACCCACAACAGTAATATGTGCCAGTGGCCAATTTGAATGTTCAGCCCTCAGCAGGGGATTGCCATGATTTGCCATGTCATCTGAACCCAGGTAGTATGGCTTGTGGGAGAGGGAATCAACCCTCTGATGACCCTACAGTAGGCCATGAGTCATTGAAGAACTGCTTTCCTCTCCAACAAACCATACCACCTGGGTTCAGATGACATGACAAGCCACGGCCAGGACTTTAATAAGCACTTTGGTGCCATGGGCTCCATGGCTCATCAGGCTTAAATAACTTATGCTTGACTCCAATCATCATGCAAACCAGTTCACTGATGGTCATTAAGACTAAAAACTTATAACCTGTTTTCCATCTATAAAATGAGTAAATTGTTAATTGGCATCATGCATAGATATCTTGCTAGGTGGTGGGAAAGGGTGCTGTAAGCTAATTGCTGTACATCCCAACAAATAGTTTTTGCTGTGTTCTACCGTTTTACCACCTGGGTTCTGCGTGTTCACTGCCGTGTTCTGTCCTTTTCTACCCTTTTATTGCTTGCCTCTATTTGCTGCTTATGGGAACTGCTCCTCCATTGTGCTCTTCTGCAGTTTATGGGCACTGCTTCTCAGTCTCTGCCCTTTACCCTCTCAAACTCCCCACCAGCCCAACTGACTCTAACCCAGACCACCTACCAGCCACCAGATACTGGCAACTTGATCTGGATGTTGTTGTTACTATGTGCCACCAAGTCATCTCTGACTTACAGTGACCTTGTGAATGAAAGCTCTCCAAAATGCCATAGCCATGACATTTCTGCTCAGCTGTTCTAAATTCAGGCTGTGGTTTCCTTTAGGGAGTCAATCCATCTTTTGTTTGGTCTTCCTTTACTTCTGTCTTCCACTTTGCCTAGCATCATGGTCTTCTCCAGTGAGTCTTGCGTTCTCATGATGTGTCCAAAGTATGACAACCTCAGCTCTGTCATTTTTGTTTCTAGGGAAATCTCTTGCTTAATTTGATCTAGGACTCACTTTTTCATCTTTCTGTCAGTTCAGGGTATTCACAAAACTCTCCTCCAGTGCCATCTTTGAACACATCCATTTTCTTTCTGCCAGCTTTCTTCACAGTTCAGCTTTCACATCCTTACACAGTCATCAGGAATACAGTTGTGTGACTGATCTTGGCCTTGGCCTTTTCTAGTTCCTTCATTGCTGCCCTTCCAAGTCTCAGCCTACTTTGAATTTCTTGGCTACAGTCTCCCTTTGAATTGATGGATGAGCCAAAGTATAAATGGATACAGTGGGATAATTTAATTTTCTTACACAATATTAACATTTATTTCTGCACTAGCTTCTGTATTAACCTACAACTTCCTTGTTGTCCTATTTACAAATACTCTTTTTAGCAACTCCTGCTTATTCTGTTTTCCAGTTATGCAAAAGGATTAGTGAGCTGCTGTAATTGTGATTCTCCTGTCACTGTTCAATGGTGGCAGGAGGAAGTAATCTTGTTATTCTAGCCATCTCTTTATAGCCTAGGCAAACGGTCACTATATCTTTTCACAGAAGAATTCACATAGTACTTTGTAAATTGAGAAAGGAAAAACTAACACAGATGGATACATCCTGATGTATTAAAAAAGATTTAGCAGTTCCATTGAGCACCGGTCAATGAGTCATCAGTTTGTATGTAATCTTTTAATAATTATTATTGTTCGAAGTATACACAAGCCTAATCATGCCTACATGGTACTAAGAAAGCACCATTAAAATCAATGGGAGACACCTCTGAACAACCATGGTTAGGACTGAACTGTTAATTAGATTGGTTCCATATTTTTGACTTCTGTCTGTCTGTCTTTAATTAATTTATATCCTGCCCAAAAAATAGCCAAGATTCCAAGTTCAGCCTTTGGCATTTCCAGAAAGTCTCTCTCAGAGAAAAGGGATTGGAAATGCTGCAATGAAAATCTGCAGAGTTTGATTTAAAACACATGCTGAACCAAATGATCTGCTCTTTTATAAGGCAATTTCTTAGATGCACAGAAGTAGCCTAGCACTGCTGAAGTGAGAGAGTTTATGCCCAACGCCATATGGTTTTCCCAGGCCTGTATCCCTACCATATACCCTATTTTTTCTGAAGCTTGACTTATATGCTTCCTGTGGGTAAATGGTCAACACAGATAAGTGGTTAATGAATATACAGCATGGTAAAGAAGGACATGAAGTACAGATTCTTGGTGGCTCACTCCTCTTTCTCCTCCTCTTTTGCAGATTCAAGCTTTCAATGTTAAAAACGTCATGTTTTCCTATGCAAACGACTGTACAGGATTCTTCAGCCCTGCAATTTGGATGGGTTTGGTGACTTCATTAATTTTATTATTGATCCTTACCTATGGAATTCACATGATTACGAATCTCACAACAAACAGTAGATTTGATGATCCCAAAGGTCCAGCTCTTTCAGTACCTCAGTCAGAGTAACAATAAATGTGTAGTTAGGATAACTGAAAATGGCAGGAATTGATGAATTTGTCCATTTTGTTTCCTATAATGTCTATATTCTTTCAACCACAAGTTTGATCTGCCATGTTGTCACATCAGGTAGAAAATACATGTCTGCCGATAACTCCTTAAACATTTTTGTCCACATTTCATATACATGAAAATTTTGATGTATCTTCTCAAATTTCCACATTTATTCAAGCAGCTTTCCCTAATGGATGCTTTTTTGTATGTTAATATATACCTTTTTGCATGCAATTATTGTTAAGCAGGTACACATTTTATGTGTACCTATGGAGGATAGTTGATGGTCCCATTGAAATAAATGAGACTGACAGTCTACCATATATGTTTTATTCAGAATTACATCCCATTAGTTTTAGTGGAGCCTATTTTGAGGTAAGCGTAGTGTAATTGTAGCTTTTAAAAGCATTTGACTTTGCTTGGATCCTGTAAAACAATGCATGAAATGAAGTGAAGGATTACTAACAGCCAGTGAAACTCTGAATATGTCTTCCAGTATGCTATACAGCATATTTTTTCTTAATCATCCCTGATTTCCAAAGGGTGTCCGGCTGTGAGTTTCACCCTAATGCTAAACAGGATTTATTTCTGTGGAAGTAGCTGCGTGCTCCTGCAGTTCCTTCAGATGACTCAGCAACAGGCTATGGAGTTACAGACAACTTTCTCATCTTGCATTATTACTGGTCATCCAAGTTTTAAAACTACAGCTCAAATCACAATCCCTGCTGTCCTTCGGTGATTTGTCCAGTGCTGTGTTCCAAGTTTTGTTGAAAATTAATGTCAACCAGAATAAAGATTGTCTTGACTGGCTTTTGAAAAGTAACTCTTGAATTACTTTCCATCACCTGGACAAACCCCTGACAGAAGCAGTTTGAGTTCTGTAAACTTTCAGAAAATCCATCACGCGCTCACTGGGCACCTTGATGTGAAACGAAGCATTCAGGTGGTCATCACAAACTGAAAGCATGACCTTTGCCTCCAAATCAGCTGTCATAATATACTTAAGGAAGTGTATCTACAGGATGGCTACTTAAAAAAGAAATAAAACACAAAAGCAATTTAGTTTTCTGTCTCATTAGCCTTGGCAGAAAAAAGCTGTCTGTTATTGTGCAATTCAGCTTGACATTGTGATAGCAGGAAATGTTGCAATGTATCCCTGGTGTAGTTGTGTTAATTGAGCCTGAGGAGCTTTTGAGTCAAGTCTCAAGTAGTTCTCCTTCAGTAGCATCCATGGGGCATCAAGAAGAGCGAAGTGTGCCTTTGCAAGAGGTTACATACTATTCAGGATTTTTCAGGACAGCTGCAGGCTTCTGACTTTCCCATTCCTTATCTCTATCTCTTCTTCTTTTTCTCTCCCAGCCCATTACCTTCTCTCTGCCTCTGTTCTCTGCTCCCATTTTTCCTCATTTAATTCAAATCTTTGTGTTCCTTCTCCTTTTGTGCTTTGCCTCATTTGCCTTTCCCCAGCTCAGCTGCAGCTACATTAAAATGTCGGGTTTCTCCACTGACTTCTATGGGCACTCTCACTTTCATTTATTTATTTGTTTGATTTGTTCCTCAGCTTTCCACCCAAAATGGTGCTCAAGGTACTTTCCATCTCTGGGGATAGCTAAGAATAGCAACTAGGTCTGGAAGAAATGTCCTATTCAGACTTTCAGGTGTTCCTTCTACTCAGTGCTGGCTCCAAGTCTTTGAGGGCCCTGGGCCAAGACACCTTCAACAATCTCTCCGCCTTCAGTGGGACTACTTCTCACCATCATGGTCACCAGCTGCTATTGCTCCTCAGCCACTTTCTCATTATTGCAACCTCTTGCTTGCTCAATGGATTTGATTCAGTGAGCAAGAAGGCCATGGCATCTACTGCTCCCCCCTCTCAGCACCACCAGCACCTGGTCCAGAGCAAGCACAGGTGAACAAGGAAGTTGCAGTGATGAAGAGGAACAACTACAAGAAGCTCCTATTTGTGGACCCTGCTGGGCTGTGGGTCCTTGGCAAGCACTCAGTCATGCCTCTCTGTGATCGTGGCCCTGCTTTTACTCTCTGTGTATATATATCTGTTCCTTCTAATGCTCAACTGAGTTCCAGAAAGCCGACTTCTTTCTAACCGAAGCAAGTACACCATCCAACAAGAGTGGGGTACAGGCATGCCTGGGGAAACATGGACATTTGCAGAAGTACATAAAGGGTTTAAAAAAGAAACTGATGGAGGCAACATTCTCAGAGCAGGATTGTGCATCTTCAATAATTATGACATGTTGAGGCTCAGTGCGAATAGAAGGCTAAGGGAATGGGGAATAGCATAGGTGGCAAGTAACTGGGGTGTGGGGTGGAGGGGTTATGGCCATGGAGCCTGGAAGGCTTCGGAACACCGTGGATCAGGTGCCAGGTGGCAAAGGCAAGAAGTGCAGGTGGCTAAGAAAGAGAGTCAAAATAGAGCAAAAAAGGAGATGAATGATGTATGTATGTATGTTTTAGATTTATTTGAAGGCTGCCCATTAGCCCATTTGTTTGAAAGCTGCCCGTTACCATGCTCTCTGGGCAGCCCTTACAAAAAACAAACAAACAAACAAACAAACCTGCTGAATAACATTAAATAAAATAGCATAATAAATAAACAAGATAAAAACAATATAGATAGTCAAGTAAAAAATGTAAATTAATATATTAAAGCCACTGCAGTTAATATAGCTGATCTAAATGGTATTATAGGTGTGCTGAAAAATAAACGTTTTGGATGGGCACCTGAAGCTCCAGGAGATAGGCACCTGGCACATCTCTGGTGGTGGAGCGTTCCATACTTGGAGTACCACCACAGAAAAGGTCCTGTACCTTGGAGCCTCCTCCTTAATCTCCTTTGGGAGAGGAAGGATGGCTTCTCCACCTTGCTCCTTTCTAAAGGAAGCTAGAAACAGTGGCACTGCTGATAATCATGCAATTTCAGCCTTGGCGCACATCCAGAGCAGCTTCCAGTGTCCCCTGCTTGGCGAGTGATGCTAGCTGATTTGGGAGTCAAAGGAGTGCTTCCAGGAAGCTGACTCTCAGATGGGCTCACCACTCACCAGAAATTCCCGTGAGTGCGTAATGCTTCTGTGTGAAATGTCACTAGAACCACCCTGCTCTGCCATGGTTTTGAGGACACATAGAAAGTGTTGATGCAGAGTGGTTCACACCTGAAGAATAATAGCAGCAGTAGCAGCAGGAGTAGACAAAGCATCTGTCAATCTAGGAGATGTGCACCGTTTATGTTAAGCCTACCAGCTGCACCACACAAGGCCACACATAAGTGAAAGGGAAAGGAGTTAAATGGAAGGAAATGGGGCTGTGGGGTCCAGAGAAAAGAGCTCACAAAAGACAAAGGATGGGCACATGAAAGAGAATTGGCCTGAAGTCTAACTGAGAGGAAGGTACTGCAGTCCAGAGACAACAGCACAGCTGAAAAGAAAGAAGGGCCCCAAAGTGTGCATTTAAAAACAAACAAACAAAAATATTTCCTTACTAGATCCAGTAAGGAAATAGAAGCCAATGAAAATAGCATAACAAGGGAGAAATGTGAGCTTAATGGAACACAAGGGAAGCTCAAATGAATGGCAGGTAAGAATTATGGAGAGGATAAACCTGAAGAACCTGAGCGATGTATAATTCCACATTATATATCATCACAGAAATAGAGTCTTACCTTTCTTAGGGCTTCCTGAACATGGTTACAGCTTCGAAAGCAAAGGTGTTGTGTATAATCCCTTTCTCTACAAAGAGAGAAGCAGCAATCCTAAGCATACCTAACAGGAAAGATCTCACTGGGATTTACTTTTGAACAGACATGTTCAGAAAATACTTGTAATGGTCATTCTAGGAGACCTTTCAGTGTTGCCTAGCCACATGGAACAAACATTTTTGTGTGGTGGTCCAGTAAAGCTGGAGAAATAATAAAATGACCCAACCACACAAGCTAGTATCAGTTGCACAGACCCTGACTGTAGGACTGGCACCCATGTAGCTTCCTAGTCTGCACAAAGGATGAATATTATCAACTCCCACTAGGGTTAGCCCTAACAACCCACATGGTCAAGCACCCTGGAATGGGCAAGGGGCAGATGGATAATGGTGTCCCTGAATCATGCAGCAAGGCTTTTAAAAAAGCAGGTCCTACTTCACAGCCATAAGTTGTTCTGTACTGTAGGCAGCAAGAGGGAACAAGTTATTATACTCTGGTTATTCATAAAGGAATGCATAGGTAACGTTAAAATAGAGAGCTGTTTAATGATAAAGGATCTAACCAATCTTTAAAATTCAAGTAGTCCACTTGAATTGGTTTTGTGAATCATGAGCAAAAACATTATCTTTTTTAAAAGAAATTGTCATTGTTCAGAATGTTTTGATTTTATAGTGGTCAGGATGTAGCACACCAGTGGGCATTGTAAAATCAGATGCAAGGATGAACGAGCTCTTTATTCAGAGCACTGAATGTTTTGAAGGAGGAAAGGAATGTGAAGCAACAACTGAGCAAGAGGTGGTTCCCTGTTGTCTTACCATCATGCTGCCACACCCCTTAAATTGCACAGGTGAAGCAAGATCCTATTTAATCATTCTTCCCACATGCTCAAAGACAGCCAAAACCAAAGCACCAGTTCTTTGATTTGTTGCTCAGTGGAGTTGCTGCTACCCTAGAACCTTGGGGAATTTCCTGCAGATTCACCAGGAGCCTCTTAAATCTTCTCTAACTTTAGAGTGGATCGACTCCTTTGTGGCCGCTGGTATGTTTCTGAACATCCTTTCCCCCACCCCCAAATGGCTTTAATCGAAATTCCAACAGCTTTTCTAGCTACAGTCTTTTTATGAGATATATAATATACTTTGCTTTCTGCAAAATAATTGTAAGTGGCAACCTGGGAGCCAAGAAAAATACCAAGCTTGCTTCAAGTAATATAAGCAAAATGCTGCTCTATAATGCAATATAT